GGAGCCAGGCCACTGAGGCTGGAATTTGGGTGTGTGATCTGGGGTGAGTTCACGTGTCTGGCGTTGGTCTCCTTGTCTGTGTGACAGGCGCGTGGACTGGCAGAGCTGCAAGGCTCGGGGGAGCAGGTGAACACAGGTAGGAGTCACCTGGTAGCAAACAGCACCAGTGTGCCATCAGCGACACCTCTGGACTCAGGCTGCTCAGGGAGGGTAGAAATTCCACCAAGGTGAGCTGGAGGTCACCCCCAAATTCTCCCTTCTAAGTCCTGGAGAATTCTCGAGAGAAGGGGGCTGTGTTCCTCATGTGCAGTGCAATGCTGTAAGAGGTGGCATTTTTGCTTGGAATGGCCTTTTGTAAGCTTTGAAATAATCACTTTTTGGTGCCAACAGAAGCACTCATTTCCGCTGGAGGCTTCTGGAAGGCAGATAGGCACACAGGCCACCTGGCCCACCCAGGGCGCTGGGCCTCAGATGTCCTGTTCCAGGGTGGTCACAGCCCAGATGCTTTCATCCTGGACTCTGGCACCTGCCCGGCCACAGAGAGCTTGTGTCTCCTGCCTGGCCCACCAAGGCTCTGCCCTCTCCACTCGCTCACTTTCCTACACTGATGATGGCTGGCCTCCATCTCCAAATGGCTTGTCCCCAACTGAGTTGAGGCAGCACGCGTTCCACGTGACCCCCCTCGAAGCCCGGAAACTACGTACTTGTCTGGATCTGTACTGTGTCCCCACGTAGCCCTGCTCGGGGGAGCTGATGTGTTGGCACAGCTTGCTGAGAAAGCAAATTAGATCAGAGTACCCGATTCCTGCTGATTGCAGCACGGAGTCAGACACATCTGACCAGGAAAATGTAATCAAAATGAATCAAAGTGTAGACTTCCTTAAGGCACATAAAGAAACACTTATTCCCTTATAATAAACATTAACAAGGATCCAAATTATCAGTTTAAAAACCAGCTCTCCCCCAATATTAAATCACTAGGTTAGAAAGATTCGAAGTAGAAACCCAGTGTGGCCAACCTTGGTTCTAGTACAATCAGGAGCCCGAGTGACCAAGAGTGACTCAGCCATGGCAGAGGCCTTATAAACTGCAGTGGTGGGTGCCCAGCGTGACCAATGGTGACCCTAGCAATAGAAGATATTCTGTCGTCTTTCACATTTTTGTATCCACCGCCCCCATCAGCCCTAAGTCCAGGACCTGGCTAGCATTCAGGAAGAATCCAGCCAGGTTGGGGTGTGGACACAGTACCGCACGATCTCTGACACCCCCAGTGCATCTTCCAAGTCGCCTGCCCTCGACGGCCAGCCCCATCTCTGCTTCTTGCAGTCTCAGTCTCGTCAGTTCGAGACTGAGGCTCAGCCCCATGTGGGAGCAGCCAGTCCTGAGGCTCAGGGGACATCCTTCCCACTGCCGAGTTCGTGTCCTCAGCTCCGAGAGTTCCCTTGCTCTCTGGCATCCACTGCCCACCAAAGACACTCTGCAGCCACCCCCCTCCTCAGGGTCATTCCCTGACCCCAGGGGAGGTCACACATCGCCAACAGAACACATCTGTGGTGTATTCCTTCCTACCCACGTGTGACCTAAGATCATGTCCAACTCATAAATAGGCACGAGTGATAACAGTGTCATTACCGGAATAACAAAACTTGTCCAGTGTGGTCTCCCACAGTGTGTTTTGGTTCAAAGTCAGTCACAGGTACCTGAAACTACAGAAAGCAAAACTGCTGCTGGAGGCCTCCTTAACTCTTCCTTCCCACGGTGTGGGCTCTGTGTTGACTCATCTTGTCTCAGAGGTTGGGGTTTTTTGGGGGGAGGGGAAGCACTGGGATTTGAACTCAGGGCCTCACGCTTGCCAGGCAGATGCTCTACCACTTGAGCCACTCCACCAGCCCCTTCTTGGTGATAGTTTTTTTTTGAGATAGGGTCTCAGGAACTGTTTACCTAGGCTGCCTTTGAACTGCGATCCTCCTGTTCTCTGCCTCCTGAGGAGCTGGGATTACAGGCGTGAACACCAGAGGTTCTTAAGCACCGAGGTGAGTGCCGGCCCCCAAGGGCGGCAGTGCGGAGCCCAGTTGCAGCCCAGGTCTGCCCCTGGGTCTGACAGGATGTGGAATCAGGGACAACAAGCCAGTGTAAATGTTGGTTTGGGTTTTTTGCTTTGGCAGTACTAGGGGATTGAACCCAGGCCTCATGCATCTGTCTACCACGTGAACCACACCCAGCCTCTTTTCATGTTGGTTATTTTTGAGATGGGGTCTCACTTTTACCCAGGCCACCCTGGACCTCTGTGCCTCTATTTGTACTTCCCTGTGTAGCTGGGGTGACAAACACATGCCATCTTGTCCAGCCATTGGTCCAAATAGGGTCTGTGAACTTTTTCCCCTTGATTGCCCTGAAACCATGATCCTCCCAATCTCTGTCTTCTCAGTAGTGAGGATTACAGGCGTAAGCCACCGTGCCCGACCCAGTGGCTGCTTCTTGACTCAGCTGAAGCTGACGGCCACTTGGGGACACTGAACCTGCCCGAGGGTCCCGCGTGACAGACAAAAGAGCCTCCCTAACTGCTGTGTGGGGTTTCCCTGTCAGCACCCACCTGTCCCTTCCCAGCATGGGGACAGTCACACTACAGCCTGGCTCTGCCGATAGCACCCAACTTTACAAGGCTTCCCATTTCAGCCGGCCAGAATTCCAGAACAGTCCAGAAACCTGTGGAATTCCACTACAGCCGTGTCTGTTACTGGCTGGGCCAGGTCTCTGTCCAAGGCCTGGCAGCACTCTGGCGAGGCTGAGGAGCCATCCCACCAAGGACCGGGAGTGGCCCGGCTTGGCCTGGCTTTGACAGCCTGGCTCCGTTGCCTTTCAGCCCCACCTTTAAAGCTGCAGGTATGCACCTATAAATCAGCAGATGCCAGAGACGGCTGGATGCAAATGCTTTTCAAAAATAATTTCATGCATAAAAAAAACACAATACCGCTCGTCATGTGTTCCTAAAACCACCAACGTTGAGCTGGAGGAACAAAAGCTAACAGCTCAGCCCGTAGTCCACCCAAGGCTCCCGGCCACACACCCTTTACTGGAATGAAGGTGGCATCGGGAGCCATCAGGGCTTCCTGAAAGTCCAGGTCTCCCATCAGGCTACAGCCCAGCAGCTTGCAGGAGCCAAAAAAAAAAAGAAAAAATTAGCCCTCAAAGCAGACAGGCCTTGCGCTGGGTTACATACATTTACTTCTCTTTCTCTGCGTGTGTTGTCCACAAAGTCCATTTGTTCCCCACGGTAGTTGTATTGCATGGAGCTCTGTGAGCGTGAGCCGTGCTCCGGCACAGCTGGCAGGTGTGTGGGAACAGCACACGTGCCTGGGCTGGCTCCAGGGGACTTTGTCGAGCCTGTGTCCCCACCCTGGCCAGGAGGCACGGGGGACTCCCGACCATGAGGCTCGCCTGGAAGGCACGCACTCCACCCCTCGTCCCTGCAGACAGACACCTGAGGCCAGGGCTCTGATGGCTGAGGATTTAGCCACGTGTGTGAAAAGGAAGTGGCTGGAGGGGTTCCTAGCTGACGCAGTTCTGTCTTCCCCATTTTAATTGTACAACTGGAATTTTGCAGGAGAGTTGCCCATGGCAAGCAGGCAGAAGACATTAACTTTATTTATGTTTTAGATTTAAATGTGGCTGTTAAAATTCCTCCAGTTAGTTTTGATTGAATTGTTTTTTTGTGTGATTCTGTTGTTTAATGGAGCGGTAAATAAGAATTTCTGATAATGAGGCCCAGCGTCTGTCACAACAACCTGGTGTGGGCTATTAACATTTCCATTAGCGCAGGGTGGGCACTGATAGCACAGAAGCCACACAGTTAGAACAAAATAAATAGTTGATGTCGGGCTGAGCGGCTGTTAATTACTATTTTATTCTACAGAAAGTGAGGAGGGGGCCGCCAAGAAGGGAAAACTTCCCAGGCAGTTCTCTTCCCCAGGGGAGCCTGCGAAACAGGCCATGTCTCTGGACAGTGACTGTGTTGTGGCCTCCATTTGTGACCTACTAACAGACCTGAATCAAAAGGCAGCCACTGCTCCTAGGCCTGGTTCCCCAGAGCCAGACCCCCAAGATGAGTCCTCACTGCTCCCCAGGGTCCAGCCGGCCCAGGTGGGACGAGGGAGAAGCAGCTCCCGGAGGTGGAGAACAGATCGTCCTGAGGAAATGCCCAGAACATGGCGTGGGCTGGCAAACACAGAGGACAGCCGTGTTCCAGAATGGCCATGTTAGGGGTGGGGTCCAGCCACACCATCCTCATCAGTCACCTGTCTTTTGCCCTCTCAGTGTGCCTGTGACAGGGAGGACTTGGCACTCAAACTCGTACTCAGAGCCAGCCTCGGAGGGACGTGGATCCATGTTCCCAGAAACCCAAGTCCCTGTCCACCTGGAGGGGCAGCTCTGTCTGCAGACTGGCTTCGTCTCCAACAGAGGGCTTCATCACGGGTCTCCTGAACTTGTCATGGCAACACAGCTGTCTCCATTCTCTGTCACCTCTATCTGAAACTCAGCATCCCTCCAACCAGGGGATGTCGTAGGTCCCAATGCACCCCCCAGCTACCCCTGGGTCCTCTTGTCACCATCCACTCATCCCCCAGCCCTGGGAACACATGGAACACACACTATATCATATTTATCTTCTAATACTCAGATACGCTGTATCTCAGGGGAATCCCTTTGCTTTGTCATTCCGTGTATCTTGTGTGCATTTAAGAATCTTCTGAGAGGGTCTGTAGCCTTCTCTGGCATGAAGAGCTAAGGGTTGTAGAGACACAGCACGGAGCCCAGCTAGGAGTGTGCCCAAGGCCTCCCACACCGGGTGATGTCCAGGACAGAAGCTCTCTTGCTGTCCACCGTGGAATTAGGACTTGTGTGAATCCTAGTGTGTGTGCATTGGGAGCGGGGGGTGCATCCCAGCCGGTTGGCTTCTGGGGGGACATGCAAGTTACCCATGTGTGCCATTCTTTCCTCAGCCCCAGCAATGGCCCCGCAGAATATCCAGGTGACCCCAATGACAGCCAGCCAGCTGGAGATCACGTGGGAGCCACCACCCCCGGAGTCTCAGAACGGGATCATCCAGGGGTACAAGGTAAGCTCTAGAACACAGCTCTGTCCTCCAGGTCACCTGTGCCCAGCGTGAGGCCCGAGGGCTTTGCTGCAGGGCTGGCCATGCCCCAGGGTGACTCACAGCGTCCACTGACTTCCTGTCGTGGACACACAGCAGCCTAGAGCAAGCCCGGCTGGGCCACGCATGGGGATGAAAGCCACTTGGTGTGGGGCGGGATGTGTGGCCAGCACAAAGTCACCGCATGAGGGGCTCAGCTCACCCAAAGCTACTCAGGGCCCTGCCACCCCTGTAGCCACAGCAGTTGGCCTGGGGATCCCCTGTCCCTCCCACAGCCACCACGGCCTGCCTAGGGGGCCTAAGGTCTTCCTGTGCCCGCTCCAGAGTCTCTGGCAAATTTGCTGAGTGACAGGAAATGGGGTGTCCTCCATCCAGCACTGGATCACCACTGGACGTCGAATGGGTTCCCCTTCTGTAGGTCTGAGACTTGCTCACGTGGTGGGGTACAGAACCCCACCATTGGAACCACCAGACTAAAATGCACGGGACCCATGTTAGCTGAATGCTCATAGCTGGAAGCGGCTCTGAGATGTTGGTGGCATCAAGGAAAGCATCAGAGAGCAGTAATCATGCAGAGTTGATTTATCTGGAGGGTATCGAGCGCCACGCTGTCACCTTACACACACCAAGATCTTCCTGCTAGGAGAGGTCAGGAGCCCAAGGCATGTGCAAACCACTCAGTTCTCCATGAAAAAGGCCCCTGCCCTTCCCAGAACTGATTTCCTCGCCTGGCCTGCCTGGAGCCCCAGCCGATCAGTTATCAGCTCCTCTGGGCTAGCCTGCCCCAGTGACTGCCGGCCCAATTAAATGTCCATTTGGAAATGATTTTTGTAGGTGTTTTATGAAAATTGATACCTTCCTCCATGGCACGGCTGTTAGAGTGATTAACGAGGTAATGGGAGTCCTGTGAGCTTAGAGGCAAGGTGCTATTTGTGTACGTCCAAAATGCGTTGCCTCATTTCCTTAACGATAAAGACATTGAACCTGGTTATCGATCTCAAGTTAGCCAGGCCTGTGTGAGGAGAGGGTATTCCTTGGTCAGCTCTGTAGGCAGATGTGTATGTGACTGAAGTCACATTGTTGATCCCCTGTTGGATCTGCTCCAGCTTAGGTGTGACCTCCCGTGAGCCTGCAAGGCGGGATGCTGGTCCCAGTACGCTGATCCCGTGGCCTGGCTCTGGCTCAGGCCTGCAGAGCCAAGGGGGTCCTCCAGCCAGTGTTGTCCTTTAGGCAGTGCAGCTGGCACAGGCTGGGGCCAGTAGCTCCTGGCCAGCTGTCTGGAAAACAATTCTGGCAACCAATTCAAATCTTTGTGCTTGGGTGTCAGGTTCACCTGTGAGCATCTCCAAGCTAAAGGAGAAAAAAATGCTACTTAGCTCCTCTCCTCCTAAGCACGGGGCTTCCCAACCAGTTCTGAGTTTATCATAGGTCTCCTTGCTCTGGCTTTTGGTGTTTTAATTTACCAACTATTTTTGATCAAAACCTTAGATGTTGCTGGGTATGTATGGTGGCTCACATCTATAATCCCAGCTGCTCAAGGTGGTAGAGATCAGGAGGATTGCAGTGCAAGGCCAGCCCAGGCAAAAAGTTAGCAAAACCCTATCTCAAAAGACAAACAGGATGTGATGACCCATGCCTGTAGTCTTAGCTGTGTGGGAGGTGTGTGTAGAAAGATCACAGCTCGGACAAAAACGTGAGACTCTGAAAAATAACTGAAGCAAAAGGGCCGGGGGTGTGGCTCAAGCGGTAGGGCGCCTGCGCAGCAAACCCAGTACTGCCAAAACAACAACAAAGACTTTCGATGCTGGGTTTGAACAAAATGTGGGGTGGGGGTAGGAGTCCGGGGGCCTGTTCAATCCACAGGTGGAGCAGGGGCTAGACAGTGGGTGGTCCTCCTTCTCTCCAGAAGACTGGGAGACAGGACAGAGGCCCTTGGGAAAGTCACCAGCAGGGCCAGCCCCGCAGTACAGCTGGGGAAAGGATTCCTCCCACCCCAGGCCCCACCTGGCTCTCAAACTCTGAGCGGCGCAGAAACACTGAGCATTGCCCAGGTTGCCAGCAGCCCAGAGCCCCCATCCACAGCTCTGGCCTTGCTGCTCCCTGGCTCCTGGGGGACAGGGAGTCCCTGCCCATCCCTGGCACAGCCGCCCCGTGGCTTACCCCCAGCCTCTTCCCCTCCTGACAGATTTACTACTGGGAGGCAGACAACCAGAACGAAACAGAGAAAATGAAGGTCCTCTTCCTCCCTGAGCCCATGGTGAGACTGAAGAATCTTACTAGCTACACCAAATACCTGGTCACCATCTCTGCCTTCAACGCTGCAGGTGACGGGCCCAAGAGTGACCCTCGCCAGGGATGCACCCATCAGGCTGGTAAGTAGGTGGCAGGGGGACTGGGCGGTGGGGGGGGGGGGCTTGGTTCCATTCCCGTAGGTCGCGTTTGGACCAGTTTTGAGACAATCAACCCATCCCTGTCACCTCCCATTGTCCCGGATCCCCCAGGCAGAAAGAACCACCCTTCCTCTCGGTCTCCACAGCTCTCTGATCTGTCTGTCCCGTGGTGTAAGTCCCACTTGGAGCTGGGAACATGGGGAGTCAGGATGGGTGTGACTCGTGGGTTCCCAGTGTCTGGCCTCACCTGGGCCACGTGGTGCTGAATCACAGCAGTGTGTTTTCTCGGGAGCCCTTGAAGGTTCCACAGGGAGGGAGGGTCTCGTGGCACACAGTGCCTTCTCCTAGGAGCTGCCCCACCGTGGGACCAGCTCCTTGTGCACTGAGGCCAGTCCTCAAGGCCGGTGCCCCTGGGTTTGGGGCCCAAGGGAAGGAGCAGCCTGGCAGCTTTCCTGAGCCACACGGCGCAGGACAGTCCCAAGGACATCCCACGTGCTGATGGGGTCCTCCCGGCTTGAGGCTCCGTCCCAGGCACAGGTAGCATGTATGCCGTTCATCTCATAACCTCTCGTGACCTGGACAGCCAAAGTACCCCCAAGAAATGATGGCCTGGCCTTGGGTCCTGGGGCTGTCAGCCCTTTGTACCACCTGGGAAACCTAAGACCAGGAAGGTGAGGTTTGGGCTCCCCGATGTCCTGTGGACTTAGTCCACTGATGCCCACACAGGTGACCACTGGTCCCAGCACCCAGCATCATATCCCATGAGATGACCACGACCAAAGAGCACTGGCTGCTTCCTTCCAGCCTCATTCAGTGCCCACGGGGGCTGGTTTTAGATGTAAGCTGCAAGGACAGGAGTAGACTTGTGACACAGACGGCAGGGGTTGGGGCCAAGTCAGGACATTGTGGCCGGGCAGGTCATGGGACTGAAGGACCCAGGGATGGGAGAGGAGCTGAGCACGAGAGGCCAGGCAGAGGAGACCAGGTCCCCACCCAGAATGTCAGGTGGGATTGACCCTGTGCGTCCACCTGCACACAGCCCGGGCAGAGGGCACGGGAGCAGGCCCCATATCACCCCTGGCCGTACTCTGACTTTCTGCATCTACCAGCAGCCCCCGTGACTCAGTTAGCCTCCTCGTACAGCCCGGCAGCGCTGGGCTCCCGTGGGAGAAGAGGGATGGGGAGAGGCCCTGACCACAGGCAAGAGCCTCCGAACCTTCCAGCAGCCATTGGCAACAGCACCACCTGGATCTCCTTTTCTGTCACCATCTATTATTCACTGTGACGCCTTTGTCACTTTGCCTCTCAGGCTCCTTTGTGTTACAACTGTCATTTCCCCCCCCCCGCTCTGCTGGGGAGGGCCTGTGTTTCTGATTGATCCGTGAAGTTCGGAGGTGACCAGTGAGACTTCTTTCCATCCTGTGACATTTCGACTGGGTTGAAAATAACACCTTCTGCCACTTTCTGTTCTGTGTGGAGGTGCAGACGTGCGTGTGCGTGTTGCGACCCGTAAAAGTGCCACAGTGAAAGTCACTTTGTGCTTCCAGCTCCCGGGGCCCCCAGCTTCTTGGCGTTCTCAGAAATAACCTCCACCACGCTCAACGTGTCTTGGGGGGAGCCAGCAGCGGCCAACGGCGTCCTGCAGGGCTACCGCGTGGTGTACGAGCCCTTAGCACCCGTGCAAGGTAAGACCCGGGGACGCCGCACTCCACGCCCCTTGTTTTCAGGTGAAGAACCTTCCAGAAACTCAGAAGGTGAAGGGGTTCTGAGTCTGGCATGACCTTGCCATGACCATGTCATTCAAGTCCCCTGACCTAGTGTCCAACACCCAGGACACTCCTCTCCTCTTCCTCCCAAGGCATCTGTTGTCATGGTCACCGGCAGACACCACCCTGAGGTCCACGTGGACCCACGTCCGCTGTGTTGGCTCTCCGGAAGCCATCAGCCTCCCTGGCGAGGGCGACAGCCTCTAGGCAGCGCCCTGGCACCTCCCCATTCAGGCCCTTATACGGATATTTCGTAAGCACCTGCTGTGTACCAAATACTGTTCTAGAAGCTGAAATCCATGGACCCAGGAGCGCAAAGGCCTTTGCTGACTTAGCATCAAGACCCTCTCTCTCTCGGGTCTAGTGAGTTTATATTGCAGAACAAAGAGGCAGCATGCACTTAATTACAGCAACAAGCAAATGTGTGACGGTGACGGCTGCTGTGAAGAAAGGTGCAGGATGGTGGAAGTGTCTTGGCCACTGGAAGAGCCCAGGGTGTCCGTAAGGACCGGAGGTGCACACACCAGAGGGAAGACGGCTCAGTGACAGCAAAGGCCCCAGGGAGGCAGGACTTGGTGTCACCCCTGTGGCCAAAGCTTCGTGAGCCAGCAGAGCAGGCAGCAGGCCGGTGTGCTGCTGTACTTTCCAGGAGCGAGGGGACTTGGCTTCTCCAGGTGCCCCTGGCTAAACGCCGTAGCAGGAAAGGAGGTTACCTCTTAGATCAGTCAGGGGCCGACCCTTTGGAGGTCAGGGAGAAGGTTTAAACACGGAGGAACTAGAGAAGTCAGGACACAGGCCGAGGACAAACAGATGGGCCAGAGGGTGGAACGCAGGTGGTTTGGGGGAATGGGTGGTGGGGTCCCCTGGGGGTGAGCAAGGAGGGTGGCAGGGCTGCTGTGGCCATCGAGGAGGGGCTGCTGGTGGGGAAGGGGCTGGTTGGTGTTTTGAAGGTAGAACAGACCCAGGGACAGAGGTCAAGGCCAGGAGAGGAGCCAGGGAGTGGCTGAGAAGCGCTCTTACTCACCCGGCAGCCACCCACGTGCCTGCTACGTCCAAGTGTCGCTCTCTCTGGAGTTGTAACTCCTTCTGTGGCCCCCTCTCTTGTCCACTGGAGTACCATGTGCCCGTCCACTGAGGTTTCTGGGGACATTTCTTTCTCACCCCGATGGCCAGAGACAAAGTCCAGCTGTCTCTGCCCCACTCCATCCTATAATACTCCCAGACTGTAAAAATTATAGATTATTTAATGTCTAGGAGGAAAAACTATAACCACACATCAAATGATATTGGCTGTCTGTTTAAAGCAGTGATAAAAGCTTCCTTTTAAACAAGCACGTTCCAATGAAGCGGTTGATTTGAAGAGCAACGTGTAAGCCCTAGATTTTATTTCCCCCAATCTAAGGTGCCAATGACTATAAGATTCATCATTGTTTTATGGCATGCTAAGAAAGAAAAAATTACTCCCATAAACTATGGCCCAACACCTTCACATCGTGAATTCTGAGCTACATTCCAAATCAGAGATGTGAAAATGTAAGGAAGAAAACCACCAAGCACGCCGAGTCAATCAATGAACCTAGGTAAATAACAGAGGAGGTGATCTGTGCATACGGTTTGCAGAATCTAACTGGGCACTGGAGGGACATTGATTGGCGGCCCCTACCTGCCCAGCTGTGTTACTTACAGAGCCAAGTGCTGTTTGGGAGCAGGTGGTCTGGATGGCGCTGCCTTTGTAGTCCTGGGACAGATGCCCGGACACCTGCCCATCCATCTTTCTCACACAGTCAGCAGGGACTTTTCAAAGATCGTCCAGTTTGCTCAGCAGTGCTCCCTTCCTTTCCCTGACGCGTGTACACACATGCACGTGCACACATAAAACACACGTGTGCACACGCAGGCTGTGTAACAGGAGCCCATGTGACAAACACCTGTTGAAGAGATTTCCCAACCAGACCAGTCAAATGAGAAGTCATTGTCAGAATCGCGATGATGGACCCCGAATCCTTTCTACCCAAAGCTATTTTGAGGTTTTGGATTCTTCGTCCAATAAGTGACAGACTAAGCTGCCCGTCCTATGTCCCAGGCCTGCAGGACCACTTGGACAGGGGCCCCCTGGTGTGCACCCTGGGCTCCCCGGGCTCCCCAGTGCTGCAGCTCTTAGTCTGGTGCCACTACTCGCTCTCCCAGCGAGACCGTTCCGTGGGTCAGTGGAAAATCCACCCCAAGGGGACCTGACGCTCTCTGTGAGCTCACATTTCTGCTCCCAGGGTTTCTACAACCTCCCACACGCCAGCCTCCCGGCAGAGGAGGACCCCACGCTGCTGGCCTTCCCTGTGTGGCCGGGGTTGCAGTTTCTGGTGCGTTTTCTCCCAGTTTTGCATCACTGGGAAAGTCAGAGCTTTCGGACGTGTGGTGCTAGACAGCCATGCTCGTGGTCAGCACGCTGGTGGCTTTCGGACACGCTCCCTCCAGTGACAGGGAGGCTAACCTAACGGCACAGTCACGACCACCCAGCACCATGTGACACACGTGCCATCCCTTACCCTCAGTCCACACCGAGCTATTGTCTTGATTTGCATTTTGCACACTTCGATCCTGGGCTTGGAGCCTTGAATTCATTTGCTCTGCACCTGCATTTCAGCACCAATGAAGAGAAGCAAGATTTGAACCCAAGTGATCTAATTCCACCGCTTAGGAGAGGGAGAAAATGTCACAGGTGAGCGTCAGAGACGGAGGGTTCACTAAAGCCACCTCATATTCCAGACAGAGTGCTCACTGCACAGCCAGGTGCAGGCTTGTCACCTTCCGAGTGACAGCAGGTGCAATCACTTCCATCAGAACCACTTTCACCTCTGTTCACAAGTGCTGGGACCGACTGTCACCAGCACTGTCAGTTGAGAGGTAGCTGCTTCACCCTGCCCACTCCGGCTGCTGTGCTCTGGGCTGGGGCGGGAGGACGGTGAGCTCTTTGGCTCTGTGGTCCCTCGTTCCTTCCTTAGGATCTCGGCACAAGTAGCTCAAAAAGAACAAAAAACCATCTGGGTCCCTGGATTCTGACCCATTGCCGGCCTGGGCACATCCCCATCCCTGCTGCCCGGGCATCCAGGCTCAGCTGGCCAGCTACCCGGTGGCTGGTGGTGGGAACGGCCCGGCCCGCCTGCTGGCCCAACAAGGCTGCCTCCAAACAGCACTCGAACTCAACTCCAGGGCTCCCAGCTCCACCCCTACGCCCTGTCTCTGCTCCAGCTTGGGAGTAAAGCTGGCTGCCCTCCCCATACCACAGACCAGGTGCAGGGAGGACAGGCCTCAGGACAGATGGCCTTTGAGCGAGCTGTGACCACTCCCTGGACTTTCCCAAGGGAGCCAGGAGAGCAGCTGCATCTCAGAGGACCGTCCGTGTTTCTAGACGCCTCATAGATGCTGTCCTCTTCCAGAGACATGACTGCAAACGAAACGAACTCACCAGGCCTCTGTGGGACACCAAAATTACGTTTGTCACCTGAGGTAAGGGTGGTTCTCTTATGAAGACGGTGACAGACAGGAGAGCCATGTTTACACGAGCGTCTGTGTGACTGGCGGGATATCTAAGTATGGTTTAGAGACAAGAATCTTTACATTGTGGTAAAGATGGCTTTAAAAAAGAAAGAAAGAAAGAAAAAGCAAAAGGCCCGACAGAGATCTCACCTGGTCGTGACTGCGGGGCTGTCTTCCTGGGGCAGGCCAAGAAGAGCACAGCCTGTACCCCGTGCTGTTGGTCCCCGGGGTCACTCCATCAGGGAGACAGTCCTGCTACCTCCTATGTGCGGAGATGTGGCCACGGTCATCCTGACCAGCGTCCATCACCATCGCCACAGGGGCACCCCTCGAAGGTCCCCAGATGGCCACCTCACTGGAGCCCCAGCCAGCAGAGCACCACGCAACATGGCGCCCAGAGCACCCGGTCGCCTGCAGTCCTGGGCCCTTCCAGCACTGAGCCGCGTTCGGGGCATCTGATTTTATGGCAGAGCTATTTTTATGTTTTTTTTAAAATGTTTTAAACAGTACTTTATGGGATTGCACCCTGAGGCTTCGGAGTGTAGGGCATGGTTTCATAATTGAGTAAATAAAATAAAATTCTGACACACTTGAGAATGGCAGGGAGGCCAAACTGGCTGGCCCTCCTGGTGGGATCGAATTTGCAAAATCTGTACGTGGGTTTGTTTTTGCTCCAGGGAGAACGGAGGCAGTTTTTAACAAGAAAGAAAAAAATAAGTGTGTGTGGGGGGTGAGTTTTTACCAGAATAACTTTACCTCTGGCAGGACCCAGCTCGATGGCAGGTGAGAGCCACAGTCACCGTGTACCACGGTCATTCCTGAGCACATGTAAGGTTGGGGTCTTCTGATTCTCTGGGCAGAAATGGCTACATTTTTCTAAATAATATTGATGTGTAGTGTCAACAAAAAGCAGCCCAAATCAATCTGAAATAATTTGGAAGAAAATAGTGTTTCTGAATGGATTTGACAATAAACAGCAGACAAGCTCCAAGGCATTTCAGACTTCTTGAAGATGAGGGAGATTTGACCTGACGGCTTTGACTGGTGGATTTGTTTTGCAATAAGAAGCACTTTGTGTGGCGTCTGAGACAGATCGCTGTGGTCTTGGAGGGGCTGGACAGCAACATGCGTCCTCCAATGGCGAGGCCAGGTCACCCCAGGGTGACAGGGACAGCAAGGCTGAGCAGCAGGACCAGGACAGGAAGCGCCCACCAGGTTCAGCTCTTCCCTGTGTTCACAGCTCTGCTGGGCAGCACCCTCCTGTAGTCCCAGAAATGCCGGGCAGCTCTGCAAGGTCCACAGTAGAGAATTTATTTAGCTATTTTAAAAATATACTATTTTCAAACTTACTTAACCAAAGAGCCTCCTGTTCTCCTTCTGGGAAACACTACATTGCTGTCATTCTTAGTGTTTGTCCTCCCTCCCCCCACCCCCGTCTCCCCACCAGATGTTAAATCTTAATTTTCTCGTTATTCAGTAACCTTCCTCACCATGGTTTCACTTTCTGCACCTGCACTTACCCAAGGGCAACCTTGGTTAGAAAATGTTAATCCCAGAAAGAGACAGTGTGAAGTTTTGTCGTGTGAGTAGCGTAGTAAATCGAGCTTTGATCTCTTCAGTACCTGGGGAGTCCATCGTTGTCTTCCCACTGGGATGTCAATCACCCCTTCGTTCCCCTCAGCGTATCCCTGTGATATACGCTACCCGCCCGGTAGTCACTTGGTTAGTCACTCAGTTATCAGGTCAGCTGTCTCAGTGTCATAGGCCTGTGTTCAAGTAATCCTGTTTTACTTGCTAATAACCCCAAAGTTATGACATGAAACCTGGGGGACAGATTAACTGGGACTGTGTGACAAGGCCGTAGGGCACTGAGGTGAAAACCTAGTATGTCTAGGGTTTGGGACCACATGCAGTGTCAGGCACACACTGAGGGTCTTTCTCTGTATCCCCTGGGAATAAGGGGCCTTCCGTGCCCAACACAGCCTGCAACAGTTCTGCCACCTCACAGTCACACATTTACGTGTGGAGACCGGTCTCTGCGTCCCCCTAGTTTTCAATCAAGGATCAGTACTCACTGTGACGACTCAATGTCACCACAGGTGACATTGTCACAAGTTGTCTGAGGCCTACAGGTCGCTCAGTGAGACCCCAGATCTTTTATGGAGGCAGGGGAAGCCCACAAATCCTGCAGCCCTTTCCTGGGGAAAGGTCTGTCAGCTGAATCCAGCATTTCCCTCCATCTTTCCCACACGCTTTACTTCCGTGTGATTGAATCGGGACGCTCAAAGTCACCTACACAGGCGTCACAGGACTCTGCATATCTCAGGGCCACTGGGAAGGGGACCCTGCGCGGAAGCCCAGCCTGCAGTCGTCGTCCGCCCCCCTCCCGCCGTGAGGCCGGCGCCACCTCTGTGTTGTGGGCTTTGGTTCTTAGGCTTTACCTACACTGATCAGGGCTGGAAAGTGACCACGGTCACCTAGTTGTAAGAACGACGTCCTTGGCAAGCCACAGGGGCTGTGTTCTCGTCACAGCACGTCAGACAGTGCCCGAGTGCTTCTCGGAGCTTAGCCCTTCCCGTCTCTGCCGTTGGCTGTTCCAGGAGTGAGCAAGGTGGTGACCGTGGACGTGAGAGGAAACTGGCAGCGCTGGCTGAAAGTGAGAGACCTCACCAAGGGCGTCACCTACTTCTTCCGTGTCCAAGCCCGGACCATCGCCTACGGGCCGGAGCTCCAGGCCAACGTGACGGCCGGGCCAGCCGAGGGTAAGTGGGGCCCCGAAGACGGCACCCTGCCATGCTTTGTGGAGCTGGGGGTTCGTCGGCGTCTCTGGAGAGACTCAGGGGTGTTTTGACGATGAGGGATGGCGAACTTCCACAGGTGCCTCCTTGCCCGTAGATGGGCACGATCTTAGGTGTTGAGCAGGTCATGTTTTGACTTCTGGAAAGAAACTTGGGGGGCGGGGAAATAAGCGAATTCAATTTTCAAAGTAAAATAAGCAAATATTCAAGTATTCACGTCACTAGGAAGGACCACGTGACTTCCCACTTGGCAAACTCTTGGGTCTTTGTTTAGACTCTGGCTACACGCGGACAGCAGGCCAGTATTTGGGGAGCACTGCTGGACATTGGGGTCTTTGCACCCTTTCTTCCTGTCCTCTGGTCTCCTACTGCTTTTAAGATGAAACCTCTGGGACCAGGTGTGGTGGTGCACACCTATAATCCCAGCTACTCCTGAAGTGGAGATGGGAGGATCTGGGTCTGAGGCCAGCCCAAGCATAAATGGGAGGCCCTGTTCAAAAATAACTAAAGCAAAAAGGGCTGGGAGAATGGCTCACGTGATAAGAGCATCTGGCTAGCAAACGCAGGGCCCTGAGTTCAAACCCCAGTACCACCGCCAAAAATAAAAAAGTGAAACCTGTGGTGTGTCCGTCAAAGCCAAGGTCTACCTCCTCTTTTTCCCACAGGGTCTCCAGGGTCTCCAAGAGATGTCTTGGTCACCAAATCTGCCTCTGAGCTGACCCTGCAGTGGACGGAGGGAAACGCAGGCAGCACACCGACCACAGGCTACGTCATCGAGGCCAGGCCTTCAGGTGGGGCAGCGGGGCCTGGGGGACCGAGCACCGGTGTCTCGGCCAATCTGGAGGTGGTGGTGCGGGGGTCTCAGGACCGGAGCCCCTTGGCCTCCTCCTCTCCCTGTGTTTCCCCAGTGGGGCAAGGCAGGACCAGGGGTCCGAGGACAGGTCAAGCTCGCAGCGTTGTTCCCACTGCTTTAGCTGCAGGAGGGTGGTAAGACTGTCCTCAGAAACGTGTAGACGGGAGGTGAAGACCACGTAAAGGCATTTCAGCCGGGTGCCGCGGCTCACACCTGTAATCCCAGCTACTTGGGAGGCTGAGATTGGGAGGTTAAAGTTCAACCCCAGCCCAGGCAAACAGCTCCCGAAACCCCATCTCCAAAATAACCAGAGCCGAATGGACTGCAGGTGCGGCTCAAGCCGTAGAGCGCCTGCTTTGCCAGTGTGAAACCCTGAGTTCAAACCCCAGTCCCACCAAGAGAGAAAAATTGGACATCTCGGCCCATCGGGAAGGTGTGGGGGCCCTGCCGGCGGCCAAGTTCACCTCCATCGACAGAGCCCAGCTGGACCGCTTAGGACCTGAAAAGGAGGTCCAGCTCCATCCCCAACCTGCCCGGAAAGACTCGCTCACCTTTCCTTCTGTTTGTTTTTTTTAACCCTCTTTACTTTTTGAAATGAGACATGTCCCCTGTACGTCAGTGGGACTCATCGTGATATTTCTGCACACACGTAAAGCGTGCACTGACCACATTCAATCCCCCTTCGCCCCCCACAGGAATCACTATTGTACGTCAGGTTGACTTTCTTTCCAGGCACTGGATTTGAACTCAGGACCTCACACTCACTAGGCAGGCGCTGTACCTCTTGAGCCACACCATCGGCCCTTTTGCTCGGTTATTTTAGAGATGGGGTCTCACTTTTGGCCCAAGCTGGCCTAGACCGATGCTTCCTGCTGTCACTGTTGAGGTGCTCACCACCCTGCCCAGCTTTTTTCTGTTGAGATGGGCTGACCTCGAACTGTCATCCTCTTGATCTCAGCCTCCCAAGTACCTCGGATGACAGGTGTGAGCCACCGTGCCCAGCTCAGGTCAAGTTTGTTTTTTTTCAAGTTTTCGCAGTAAGAGAAAATCCAGCCTTGTCTTCCGCACGTAGCTTTTCTCACTGAACACAGTGATTCTAGTTCCATGCACTCTGCTGCAAATGGCAGAAGCTCGTTTTTGCTCACAGCCGAGTGGTAACTGCACTGCATACCCCTGCATACCGCCCTGACAGGTTTACCTGGGGACGGACTCACCTTAGCTGCTGTGAATGGTGGAGGTGCCGGTGCGGCTTTGGGCTCTGGTATGCTGGCTTCATTTCCTTCCGGGCCGTACGCAAGAGTGGGACGGCCGGGTCATATGTGGTCCTGATTCTAGGTTTTGGATGAACTGCTGTACTGTCCCCCCTAGGGGCTGACCTAATTTAAATGTCCACCAAGAGTGCAGGGCTCCTTTGACTTCCAAGATGGAAGATGGGCATTATGGGAAAAAGAGACATCCCAGCTGGGAGCCAGGGGGTGGGGAGGGGATCACCAGAGGTGGAGGACACTGAGCTGTGTCAACATGACCTTCAGATGGTGGCCCGTGATGAGCCTGGCACGCACTCAGTCAGGACTGACCAACCCGCCCACCACCAGGCAAGACTGCAGCCTGGCAGCCATGTTAGTTCAATATGTAAAGAGGCCTTTAGACGAGAACAAAGATCCCCAAAGCCACGTCCATCACCGGGCAGAGACGTCCCTCCCCTCCACCCACTCCAAATTGCCTTTGAAAGGTCAGGAGCTACAGGTGCCTTCCAGAAACACCTAGGGAGAAGCCCAGCCTGGAAGACCGAGTCATTTCCACCCTAAAGGCAGCGTGAAGAATTGTTTGGCTCCAGAACTCGCACAGGCCAGGCATGGTGGCTCACACCTGTAATCCCAGCTACTCAGGAGGCAGAGATCAGGAGGATCTCGGTTCAAAACCAGCCCCAGCAAATAGTTTGCAAGGCCCTATCTCAAAAAACCCTTCACGACAAAGGGCTGGTGGAGTGGCTCAAGGTGTAGGCCCTGAGTTCAAACCCCAGAACCACAAAAAAAAAATGAAAAGAAAGAAAAAAAGGACTGGCGCAGTTAGGAGGCCAGAGCTCAGATGGGCCGTGACAGGTTCAGCATGGCCTCAAATCAGGGAAGGTTCTCTGGTTGGCACGGCCCTTCTGTGGTCACTGGGTCCCTGCCAACCCCTGGTGGCAGACGGCCAATGATGACATGGACTCAAGACTTTCAGAGGCTGGCGGGAGCCATGAGAAGGGTCCTGGTGAGGTCCTGGCCTCCGGCTGCGGGGCGGGGCAGATAAGAAAGATTTGTCCCCCGACACTTAGGATGAAGGTGACCTTGCTGTCTCTTCTGGGCCACCGAGGGATCGGCTGAGGCTGGACATGGGTTGGGTGTGTCCCCCGAGGCTTCGTGTGTCAGAAGCTTGTTCCCAAGTGGGGTGATGATGTCTGGGGTGATTGATGTGGGGCCGAGGAAGAGCTGACCTGCTTTTCAGCTGCTCCGCTGGAAGAGATTAATGCTGGTCTCAGGGAGTCAGTCTGTTCTCACGAGAGGGGGTTGTCATTACAACGCAAGACTGTCCTCCCCACTGTCTGACTTGCCATCTGTGACCCAGCTGTGCCAGGGGGCCTCACTAGAGTCACACTGATGCTCCCGGACTGTGAGTTAAAGAAACCACTTTTATTTTCTATAAAGAACCCAGATGTTTTGCTACAGCATCAGAAAATGGACGGATGGACAGGATTCATGGGTAAAATTCAGGAGATCCATAAGCTCAGATGAGAACAAAAACCCACATTTTTATTTTTCTCAATCTAACTGTAATTTAGCATTTTTTTCAGTTATGCACAGAGGAGTGTTAGTGTTCTGGAGGTTTCACAAAGGACCATGAACTGCTTACACAACAGAAATGGCGGGGATGGAGGCCACACGTCCAAGGTCACGGTGCCGGCAGGGTTGGTTCCTTCTGAGGGACGTGAGGGACAGTCTGTTTCCCCCAGGTCCTGGCGGTCACTGGCAATCCCAGCATTCTGTGGCCGGGATGTATCGCCTGCCCATCTCTGCCTTTCCTTCCCACAGTCTGTCCGTCCGTGTGTCTGTGTCCAGACTTCCGCTTTCGTAAGGACAGTACTTTAAGTATGTCTGATGACCCTGATTCCAAACAAGGTCATCCTGAGCTACTGGCGTGAGGACTTTACTCAGGAAATGCAGTTTGGGGGTGGGGAGGCCATCGTAGCAAGTGGGACGCCTCCTGTGCGACAGCAGCACCTTGCGGTGTCAGCAGAAGTCTCGGGACATTTGGCCACCGTAGAGATTTCACACATCTTCCCCAGAACCACGCACAGCGTGGTTTTCCAGGGGACACAGGGGTCCAGAAAAGACGATGGCTCTTCCTTTCCAGTGTTCCTCGTGCACTTAGATCCCTTCCGAGAAGGTGTCCTTAAGACGGGGTCCATGGTGCCAAGGACAGCTTAAAAAGCCTGCACTGGATCCACAAGTGGCTTCCCCCATCCCCAGGACCCACTGCCCATCCCCAGGACCGTCCATAGGGACGTTATAGGACCTGTGACTCAGAGGCTCCAGAGGAAGTGCCCTGTGCCTCAACTGTGTCCCCACCTTGGATGTGACATTGCAGTAGAGATGTTACCTGGGGGGGGCACCTGTTTCTTACAGGTGGGGGCACTCTACCATGACCTCGGAGTAAGCGGTGTCATTTAAAATAGTGGCGAGCGTCCTCAGTCAGCGGCCAGCCTGTGGCGGGCGGCACACCGTCACCAGCCGGACACAGGTGTCCCGCCTTGGCATCCTGGCTTTCATGCCCTCACCCCAGGGCTTTCCAAAACATGATACGGTCCCCATTCTCAGGCCTGCTGGGGACTTGTCTGATCTCTCCTTGGGCCGCCATATGCATTTGAATTCGTCCTCAGGAAAACAGGACACCTGGTGGCGAGATGCCAGCTTTCGGGCATCTGTAGGAGCAGACTGGCATGTCCCTTGGGCCTCACGCTGGCCTTTGGAAGCCAGATGGGAACCTGTGTTCAGAGGGTTGGTGCCAGCCTGTGAACCTGCCCCACGGGAGGCCAAGACATGACAAGACACCAACCTGGAGGACGCCATCTTTCTCAATGGCACTGAAGACTGTTTTGTCTGTCAACCAACACTGGAAAGCCACCATCAACACCTTCTCCATTTGCACAGCTAGCTGAGCCAGCCGAGTGGCTGCTAGCCCCGAGCTCTTTCATGCAATCTTGAGAAGACGTCCCTCCCTGTGGCCGGGCCACCGCAGCTCACAGCAGAACACTGGGCTCGTTTTTATAGATTGTCAATATTTAAAGACCTAGCTGGGGCCCCGGGCGCCGGATCTCAGCTGTCATCCATTTCAGGCCTCATTACACAGAACATTAAATGCCGTGTCTTGTTATTTTCTCTGCTGTGGTGCTCCGGCCACACTGTCCTCAGGCCGCAAGTGGCTCACTGGACGTTAGGGACCTCGTCTGTCAGGAGGGGGGACCTGTGCAGAGCCCACACACACAGATGTCAAGTTGGGACAGAGGTCACCTGGTGTTTCCCCATCCAGACAAATCCCTGCCTGGGCCCCTGCAGACAGGACATCCATCGGTGTCATCCCTCTGCCCAGAGATGTCACCCGAGCTTCGGCAGCCAGCAGTGAACTCTCCCTCTTTGGTTCAGGTCCTCGTTTCGCCCCTGCAGAGTCTGCTGCAGCCCTGTGGCTATCATGTCATGGGGTCACAGACGTCTACTGAAAATCCCATCAGGCCAGGACACCGAGCCTTTTATTCCCAGACATGGTGGTCACTGAGTGTGGCCCGAGGACTCAGCCATCAACTTCCACCAGAACGGCCATCCAGCTCGCTCCTTTCCCTGGCTGCGTGCAAGTTTCCCCAGAATCATGTCACAGAACTCCCTGGACAGCCATGGCGACACCACAGTGGCTGTGGTGACATCTGTGTGGGTGATTTATGCACACAGATTACTCGGAAGCATTTCACCGTGTAAATCATAGAGCCTAATCTACATATTTACACAATAGACGGGATGCTCTAAAGGACCTATAAATATACATCCCTCTCCAGAGCAGCTATGAAATACATATTTCGGACGCACCCACGGCAGGCAGGCAGGCGTTGGATTGCTTTTTTCACAATGCTGCTCCAGGCCCGAAGCTGAGAGCCTGGGCCCGTCCACCATCCGTCTTCCTGGGCACAATCCCGGTCCCTCCCCACTCATTCCACTCATTTTCAGCCTTTGGCAATGGGGGTTTTCCATTGAACCGAGAAGAAAATCAGTATTTTTGCACCAAGTATGGTGATTCATGCCTGTAATCCCAGCTCTCACGGGAGGTGGAGATGGAAGATCAAGAGTTTGAGGCCAGCCTGGGCTCCATAATGAAACCCTGTTTACAAAAAAGAAAGGGGAAAAAAATGTCAGTATTATCCTGAAGGTTCAACATCCACAGACGTTCCCAAGTAGGCAGAGTGGCCAGGTGGACCACGGCCACAGCCACCTTTTGTCTTTCTCATGGCCACAGCTCCTCTTCAGAGACACAGGTCACCTGTGCACGCAGGCTTGCATCTGTGTCTCCTGCCTTGAACGAGGATCAGAAAGTCATTTGATCATCAGCCGCGTTTAGCTTGTGGACATTTCTAGCCTGGCCTGAGCGTTAAAGAAGTGACGGCGACGGCCTCCGCTGGCTCAGCCCTGCGGTCTGCCAGTCAGTCTGTTGGCTGCGTAAGTTAGTGGACCCAGCAATCTCGGGGGTGAGTGACAGTTTCATCCAGCATGGCGACCCTGTTTAATTGTCCATGAAATCAAACTTCTGGGTTGGCATGGTGTCTGCCCTGACACCTGCAGCGGGCCGCTGGGTCCTGGGCGTGGGAGAGACGCCTCCAGCCGTGTCCCTCAGTGTGCCCTGCTGGGCTCTGTCTCGGTCCAGGAGAGATGTGACTGTGTCTCCAGGCTCGTTGGCCCCAGTCTGGGAGCAGATGTGTCACCGTGGGCGGGAGACATTGGCGCACAGAACTAAGCTGCCTCATTCTGTCTGCTGGAAACAAACATGGCTGTCAAATACCAAGCCCGATGGCACTGGGAAAGACGACTGGTTTTAGGTGTCTTTTTCCCTTCTTTCAGTGGTCACACAACACAGGAAGGGTAGGGAGGACAGGTAGATCGTGCGGTCTGAGGAAGCTGTAGAGCCGCCGTGTGCAACTGGGTTCCCTTCACCTTTCCTCCCGAGCTGCCCCGTCAGGTGCACGATGACAGTGACGCTCACTTAGGGATATTTGCAAAGTCCCTTCTCGGTGGCTCTCCTGCTTTCTCAAGACCCCAGGTGGGGTTTCTCCAACGGTGTCTCAGGAACAAGAATTTGGGACGGTGCTCTCTCCAGTGGCTGGGAAGGGAAGGGTGGGGTTCACACTCACCTCAGCCTGCAGGGCCCTCCCGACTTCCCTGGACATCAAGAGGATCACATCCCAGGATGGTGAAGGCTCCAGGCCACCAGGGGACATGGGGCTGGGTCAGTCACATGAGGATGGGTCAACAAGGGATCAGTCGTCGGGGGATCAGTTACCCAGAGGTCAGTGAACCAGACAGTGGCCCTCCAGGCATGCAGGGATCGGGCATGTGGGATCCAGCCTTGGAGGGGTTGTGACCACTCTCCTCCAGGCAGATCACACATTTCCCATGACAGAGACAGAGGTGGAAAGCAGGCTGGGGTCTCGAACACCTCAGCAGGGCGAGCGTGCCTGGGCTTGGGATCCGTCTACACTGCGTGTCCAGGATTTTCTTGTGGAAAATACATGGTCCTGCTCTCGTCTCCCTCGTTGATTGAGATGGAAGTCCGGGCGGGCCCTGGGGACTTTCCCAGAGCACAGAAAACCAGGTGCACAAATTCCATTCTTGCTAATAGTGCTGGAATGTTATTTTCCCCACTAATTTGTGGGGATTCTTTTCTCGCTCACTGATTTACTGACATATTTAGAGCACACTCCAAGTGAGAAAACAGCCCGCAGTTGAGGGCCGAGTGGACATGGTCGGCAAGACATTTCTTACCCACTCGTGACTGCGCTGGGGCCATTGTTACGGATTAACGGCCCGGCGGGTTATAGCTGGAGAATAAAATGCTGAATCTGCTAATTTTGGAAAGGCAGCTAAGCAGGATAAAAATGTGAACATTTTCCCCTGTAAATTCAGAGAGAAATTATGTTGGTACAAGTTTGCCCTCCCGTTTTTGAATGTGAATGGATTGCTAAATAAATCATTCCGTGTTAAGATGCTGTATCAATATTTTAAAATGTTGTTGTAAAAATGCACACAGTTCCTGGAACTGTGACGGAGCGCTTGAGATGAAATGCGGCCTCCAGGCGATGGCGGGTGGGCGCTCCCCCAGGAAAGCCTTAGAGAAACACTTACGAGAAGGCCGGGCGCTGGCGCGGGGCTCGCACCTCGGATCGGGGACCTTTCACGCCCCGGGCACCCTAATCTCCGTGGGTTTAAACAGCACCCGGTATGCAAGTCTGTATTTTTGTCTTTAGCTCCTTACAGCATGAAATTATCTCTTTAAAGGAAAAGCACTCAATAGCTGATTCAACATTTAAAGCCTTGTAACAGTGACTTACTCGCTCCTGACAAGTTCTAGTGACATGGTGGTGGTCATTATCCACCGAAAGCTGCCATGTGAAATCCTGTGAGAGGCCACGGGGTGCAAAGAGCGTGGACAGGTGTGTGGACAGGTGGGCGAGTAGATAGATGGATGGGTGGGTGGATGGACAGATGGACAGGCGAATGGATAGGTAGAAGGATTGATGGATGGATGGATAGATAGGTGGACGAATGGACAGACAGATGGATGGGTGGATCAGTAGATGGATGGATGGTGGATGGATGGGTGGGTGGATGGGTGAATGGATGGGTCGGTGGGTGGATGGGTGGATGAATGGATGGGTGGATGGGTGGATGGATGGGTGGGTGGATGGATGGATGGATGGACGGATGGATGGACGGATGGATGGGTGGGTGGATGGATGGGTGGGTGGATGGGTGGATGGATGGGTGGATGGATGGACGGATGGATGGGTGGATGGATGAGCAGATGAATAAGTGGATGTATGGATGAGCAGTTAGATGGATCAGTAGATGGGTGGGTGGGTAGATGGACAGATGGATGGACAATAGATGGATGGATAAGTGGATGGGTGGGTGGGTGATGGCAAGCGGTATTTATTGAACTCTTTCAAATATTCAGAGCCCTGTGGTGCAAATAAGCAGGTAAATGGAACCATGTTGTCTAGAAGTCCATAAGCAAAAGCAGCCATCCTCCTGGACTGTGAGGTGGTCAAGGGCAGCCATGCCTTGCTTCCTCTTCTCTCCCTGCCCGTTACCACGCACAGCTCATTGAGAAGGATGTCTCATGTGACTCCTTGAGGGGCCAAACAGGACCTGGCCAAAGAATGGGCCTTGTAGTATTTGTGGATTAGTGAGGGGGAAGGGGTCATTCGTGGAGGAGGAGTAAATGTAGATGCCCTCCCAGTCATCCTTCTGCAAAACCCACATGCAAAAATACAGCCTACTGCAACAGTCATTCTGTGCACAAGCCTTACTACCTTAGGTGGGAAAACCCCACTCAAGTTACAGCTTGCCGTTTTGACATTCTTCCTGGCAACGGCCCCTTGATGAGTGTAAATATTTGAGTTAAATCAGCAGGATTCTGCCGCTCTGCCTGAGCCTTTAACCTCTGACTGTGAGGACCCGGGAGACTCTTAAATCCTTTGCAAACAGAGAGTGGGGTTCTGCATCCCGGCCGGTCCCTCGCTGTGTGGGGTGGGCTGGGCTGGGTGCTTTGCTCCCGGGGCCCCATGAAGCTGTCAGCGTGTGCACATGCATATTCAAGTGGACCTTCCCTCCCTTTATAAAGTGTGTCATACCCGTGCCCGTGAGAGAAAATTCCTCCGTGAAAGGTTGCTACTTCAAGTGCATCGGGAGTAGATTTATACTTTATTTTGCAAACGCTCCCATCGTGCTCGCTGTGGGTGAAGCGCTGTTCTAAGCACTGGAAAAGTACAAGCGTGGCTGATCGTCAGAGCAAAGCTGTGACGTGGATAGGTTTGTATCACCACTCTGCAGAGGAGACACGGAAGGCTGACTGTTCCCCCTGAGGTCACACGGTCATGGGAGGGGCCGGGCTTTGCGCCCGGGCTGCGCTGTGTAGTTCCAGACTCTGGATGCCTTGAATTCGCTATGCAGCCCAGGCGGGACTGGACCTTGAAATCCTCCTGCCTCAGTCTCCTGACTGCTGGGATTACAGGCGTGCACCGCCACACCTGGCCAGCCTTTGGTTGGTTTTTGGATGGCAGATTTCACTGCTCACGTATCTTTTGCTGTTGGTGGATGCATCAGAGTCAAACCTGTCTGCCTCTTTCTCGCTGCGTAAGATTTCCTCCCTTTAATTTGTTAATATTCTCCTAGATGTCAGGATTTAAAGAGATTCGGTATCTTTTTTACTGTGGAAAAGTACGCATGACATAAAGCTCACCACCTCAACTGTTCTCGAGTGTGCGATGTGGTGGCAGTAAGCACATTGCTGTGGTTGTGGAGCCGTCACCACTGTCCACCTGTAGAACTCCTGTCCTCCTGCAAAACCAGAACTCTGTCACCATTGAACACTAATTCCCCACCCCCTCTCCAGCCACTGGCTCCCCCGCACCCCACCTTCTGTCTCGAGGGATTTGACGGCCCTAGGGACCTCAAAGAGAGAATCCTACAAGGTCTGGCCTTTCGTGACTGATTTATTTCACTCAGCATATCATCTTCGAGCTTCATCCACGTCGTAGCGCACATCAGAATGTCCTTCCTTTTTTAAGGCTGTGTTGTATTCCATTGTGTGCACAGTCTGTGTTTTATTTCACTATTTGTCCAGAGATATGTGGGTTGTTCCTACCTTTTGACTATTGCAATTAATGACATAATGTTATTATTAACAGGAGTAGAAATCTGTGTTCCAAATTTTAGATAGATAGATGTTTGTGTGTGTGTGTGTGTGTGTGTGTGTATCTATATATTTACAATTATATCTGTATTTGGCAGTACCTGAGCAGAGAATAAAAAACTAGGAGTTTGGTGCATTGGCACACAGCTGTAATCCCAGGTACTTGGGAGGTAGAGATAAGGAGGATTGCATTTTGAGGCCAGCCCAGGTGAAAAGTTAGGGAGACCCCATCTCAACCAATTAACTGGGCATGGTGGTGCATATCTGTCATCCTAGCTAAACGGGAGGCATAAAGAGGAGGATTGCAGTCCAAGCCAACCCAAGCATAAACATGAAACCCTATCTGAAAAATACTTAAGGCAAAAAAAGGCTGGGGATGCAGCTCAAGTGATAGAGCGCTGCCTAGCAAGTGCAAGGCCCTGAGTTCAAACTGTGGTGCCACAAAAAGGAAAAACAAAAAACCTATGTGGCCCTGAGCTGGTGTGACGCTGAAGTCCCTCCAAAGTTTGCTCAGTCTTGCAGGGCTCTGGGTGGTTTGGGGGGTGGCCTTTAAGTCAGAAACTGGGGGTGACTCCCAGGGACAGGGCATACGGGGCCCTGAGGGGGCTGTCACCAAGCACACACAGGTACCATAGCTCTGCCCACCAGCTGCCAAGGTGGACGAGCTACGGCTGTGCATGGAGCGCTGCCCTCATTCTGTCCACGCTGCGTGGGAAACACATGGCCTCCCATAGCACTGGCAGCCACTGGGGAGAAGCTGGGCGTCCAAGCTTCCTTTTTGACCATTGGCTGGGTTTGGTTTCCAGTGAGGATGTAGGTGGGACACACCAGATGTGAGGGACCAGCTGGGAACTGGCAGGGTGGCCAGGAAGAGCTGTTGGTGGGTCACAAAGGTCAGGAATGGTGGCAGCGTGCACACGACAGGCAGGGAAAACAGCAAGCTGGAGCCAGACAGCCCCAAGGTTAGGTCAAGCGGCAGCCAGAGCCTGGAAGTGACAGGCATGCAGTAGGGGAGGAGGAGGGTCAAGAAAACACCACTCTTGCTGAGGGTGGTGGTTCACACCTGTAATCCCAGCATTCAGGAGGCCCAGGCAGGATCACAAGTTCCAGGGCAACCTGGGATGTACAGCCGGAGACCCTGTCTCAAAAACAAAACAAAACAAAAATGCTTCTCCTGTCTGTGGCTTAGCAGAGTCTGTAGGTGAAGGACTCTCCTGTCCCCTGTGACCCTCACACCAGATGCCCTGCCCTAAGGCAGCTATGAACGGATGGGCCAGGCAGCTGTGATGTCCAGATGTGAGGTGGTTGTGTCCAAAAGAAACCTCAAAAGAATCTCACTTCTGCTGTGTCTCTCTCGCTCCACAGATGAAGGCTTATGGGATATGTTTGTAAAGGACATTCCCCGGAGAGCCACGACCTACACTGTCACCCTAGACAAACCATCCACCCACCCACATCCACCCATCCACCCATCCACCCATCCATCCACCCATCCACCCATCCACACCTCCATCCACCCATCCACCCATCCATCCACCCACACACACATCCACCCACCCATCCACCCATCCACCCATTCATCCACCCAGCCACCCATCATCACCTGGTGTGAATGAACTCTAGCTGCCCTCAGGGACATGGGAATGTTAAGAGACCTCATGGTCCCCACCCCCATGGTGACTTCAGCTGCCCAGATAGGGGTCTGGGTATTTTTTAACCCCATGTTGATCAAATGCACAGATAGGTCTCAAGCCTGGGTCTGGGGACACAAGTGGGGAGTGGGCTGGAGGCTGTGAGACAGAGCATTTGAGGAAGGGTCTGGCAGCAGAAGCAAGGGACAAGAGGGGAATAGGTGTCGGGGGGTCAGGCAAAGCCCAGGCCAGCAAGGGCGGGAGGCAGAGCCGGGAGGCCCGGCTGGCCTCCACCTCTTCCTCCTTCAGCCCAGGCCGGGCTGCCCACCCCCAACACCAAAGTTCATGACAGCCTTCCTGCTGTCCTGACCACGGGTCTCAGGAAGGATGGGTCTGTGGGTGACCCCGCACCCTGGGTTGGAGGTCACTCAGGGAGAGATGGGGACTATGAGAAGAGGGCCGCTCGAGTGTGTAATGAGCACGATTTAGAAAATAAATAATACTCATTTATTGGTTTTTATTATACAATTTTAAACACACCCTGCTCCCCACCGCATTCCCCAATGCACTAATTCACAATCACCTCTCTTGGTTCAAAAGTACCATGAAGCGATTCCAAACCCTTGTGGCTCTAAGTCCACAGGCACCGTGGTGGCAAAGGTCACCGTCCCCTGCATCATGGCTGCCTGTCTCCTTCACGGAGCCTCACGTGTGAACGTCTCTCTGGGCCCCCTGCATCCAAATGCCCGCTGGACGGCAGCCACTGGCCTGGCACCAGGTCCTTGGCCGTGCTGGGCGGGGCTCCTGTCCTGGGGTGAGCACCCCACAGGACAATCGAGGCCTTTCTTCCCTCCGGCACCGGAGCGGGGCTGGTGTGGGATGTCAGCCTTGTGATGTGCTCCGTTGAAGGCACAGCCTGAAGATCAGCTTAGATCTTTTGGATTCAAAACACTGTCATCACCTAAGAAACCCTGTGGTGTGCTGTTATCCAAAGCCAAGTTCCCCGTAATTCCCAGAGAGTGCGTCCTTTAGCCTCCCGGTGACATACTTAGCACCAGATAGATGTGGTTTCCAGGTGGCGGCAGCTGGAGGCGGCCCCAGGCCTTGCCTGTAGAGGCTCCTTGGTTGAGGCCTCCTGGGTGCAGAACCAGCTCCCCTGCGGGGAGGCTCTTGAACGGCAAGGAGGGGGCCCAAGGCCGGCGACGCCCCGAGAAACCATTTCCTGTTATCATCTGCTCAGTCACGGAGTGAAAACAAAGGAGTAGAAGGGTCCTTTGCCAAAGGAGTTTTAAATGCAACCTTTTCTAACTTGCCTCTCAAAACTGAGTGGAAATATGAGGCCTCTGTTTGCTAGAGACAGAGTTAATAACACATAGCCCCAGCCTTTAGGGGCTCTGGCCCAGTGGAGAAGGCCCAAGGTGAAAGGAGATACACTGGTGAGCCCCTGTGCACAGGTATGGGGGGCACCCACACTCAACAGGAGCCCCAAGCTGGGCATAGTGAGGCCTGCCTGTAATCCCAGCAACTCGGGAGCAGGGATAGGGTGGTCAAGGTTTAGGGACAGCCTGGGAAAAAATGGGAGACCCTATTTGAAAAAGCAAAGTAAAATTGAAAGGGCTGGGGACATGGCTCAAGTGGTAAAACACCTGCCTAGTAAGTGAGAGGCCCTGAATTCAAACCTCAGTGCCACCAAAAACACCCACAAAAAAAGTGACTCAGCCTTTATCTCATCGCCAACGAGGGCCACTGGATGACGTTGGGATGATTTATTTCCATCCCAGCAGGCCTTTCTGGTGGCCATGCCAAGGGCGGATGTGAGGAGATGGGAGGGCAGTGGACGGCTGGGTAAGGTGAGGACAGGAGGCGACTTCGCTCCAGACAAGGTCTCTCTAACTTTTTGTTGGTGTTTTGGGCTGTGTGGGATTTGAACTCAGGGTCTCACGCTTGCTGGGTGGGTGCTCCACCACTTGAGCTGCTCCCCAGCCCCAGACCGTGGCTTTAAGTTGGGGAAGCACGATGGGAGCGGACAGACAGGGTCAGAGCAAGGGCAAGGCTGAGAGGTCTTGGGGTGGGAGGACCCCGAGCTGGCTGGACAGAAGGTGGGAATGGTGACGGCTGAATTCCCACGCCTGCCGCAGAGCTGGCCACGCCTGCGCCTGGCCCCAGGGAAGAGGGTCGGTCCACGCACGACAGCCCAGCCTGTGACTCGGGTCATCCCCACGTCCTGCCCCCCAGCCCCGTCCCTGGTGCACGGGCGATGGCCGCCTCTGGGGAGTCAGTCGGTCAAGCCTCGCTCTGCGTGTCGCCCTCCCTGCAGCTCAAGTGGAAACCCCGTTCTACGAGGAGTGGTGGTTCCTGCTGGTGATGGCCCTGTCGCTCCTCATCATCACCCTGCTGGTGGCCTTCGCGCTGGTCCTGCGCAGACAGAGCAGGAAGTACAAGGACTGCAGCACAGGTGTGTGGCCAGCACGTGGTTCCCGGCCCCACGGCGCCCTGGCACCCCGGGGTCAGCCAGTGCCTTCCCGGAGCCGCAGGTTCTGCCCGAGCCCTGGTCTCGGACTTGGTGCTGGAGTCGGAGCCTCTCCAGTGCACTAGTGTTTTAAACGCGGTTGGCTAGAAGGGTGAAACATGAAATTCGGGCCCCCGTGGTGTTAATAGTGACCCGGGGAGGCTCACGCGGTGTTGCAGGGCTGTCCCCGTGGTACAGCTCAGGAAGCTGACCCTCCCTTACGTCTCCCCTGGTCCAGCTCCGAGCCCTCTGAGGGCCGGTTTGCTATTTAACTTCCCCAGGCCAGGTGTGCAGTCAGTAAAGTAGTGCTGTTGTTAGAGAAATGAACACGGGTGAGGTCAGCCCCAGGAGAGCACGCGTGGTGTGGCTCTGTTTGCGTGGTGGTCAGGAACGGCCATAGCAAGTCGCTGATGCCTCTTGGTGGAGAGGTAGGCAGGGAAGGTGTGACTGAGTGAGCCTCGCAGGTGCGAGATGCTGCACCCCCGTGTACAGGTGGTGGGCTCCACACAATGACCAAACCTCCCACGGGACACTTAAGATGAGTGCACTTTAGGGGTGGGTGTGGCAGTGCACGGCTGTAATCCCAGCCACTTGGGAGGTGGAGGTAGGAGAATCACTGTCAAAGCCAACCCAGGCAAAAGCGTGAGACCCTACGTGAAAGACAAACTAAAACAAAAAGACTGGGGCATAGCTCAAGGGGTAGAGCGCCTGTCTAGCAAGCACAAGGCCCTGAGTTCAAATCCCAGTACCACCCAAAAGAGAATGTATTAGTACAGCTTATGCATTTTGCTATCCTCAGTTTTTCAAAGGTTCTCATGGTTGTAACGGGCCACTTCTCGACGCTGCACCTGCGGCCTGTTTTTATCCCGTGTGGCTGAGCCAAAGCAGACAGACATCCTGCAGTATCGCCTCACTGGCCGGGCAGGACATTTCTCCGAGTTTCCCGTCCACTGTCTGTCCGTCCTCTCTTTCTAGCAGGACAGATCCCTGCCGAGGTTCTGTTAAGGAGCAGCCGGCCCCTCCCGCTACCAGAACCGCACGTCCTTGCTCTGAAGGGCTGACGTTAAACCGGCATCTGCTTTGGGGTCGCTAAGTAATTCAGCCCTCAGAGAAAAGGCCGATTTTTCTGCACAAATTCACTTCTAGCGAGTTCCTAAATCAGAGTTTATTCCTGTGGGACTTGCAGTGTATGAATGGCACGTCATCTGACCGAGAACGCCACTATGAAGTCGCGGTGTGCAGCGTGGAAACCCCGTGTCTGCTCTCCCCGTCCCTCTGGAAAAGGGACCTAAAAAGCCAGGGGTGACCACAGCTTCTGACACCAGCCTCACACCTGGCGTATTCAAACCTAGGGAGGAAAGGAAAGGGCTGGACTCCCCAGCACGTCTGTCCTCCTGCCCAGGTCAGGTGGGGACCGTACGCCTTTGTGGGTCCATGGCACCCCTTCCCACGTGTCCCCAGGCCCTGTCCCCACTTCAACCACGTCCATCAAAATAGCCTCCAGGTCCCCGGAGGGTGCTAGGACCGTGTCTGGGTCACCACCTCCATGGGCGGACCCTGTCCCACAGATGAAGCCCACATCAAGGGGTCCACTGGGGAGGGGCCGAGGCAGAGGCCAAGGCAGAAGCGATGTCCCCCAGCTGCGAGAGCCGGGAGAACTCACAGGGTGACCTGTCGGGAGTTGACCAGAGGAGGCAGCACCTGCTCTGGGGACGCCCGCTGGTCACGTGGTGCCTGGCTTGGACCATCTGATGTGGCTATCGACACGGCACCACGGGCTGGGCGGTCACAGAGGGGAGAGGGTTACTCTGGCTCTGGTCGTGGGGGTGACAGGTGACGGTGGTCTGCTTGCTGAGGGGTCTGAGGCCTTGCGGGGCGTCCCTGGGCAAAGGATGGAGACTGCGACAGCCCTGGCCACGCTGGCTCTTGCAGCAGATGTCCTGTCAGAGAAGCCATTGTTAATCACACAGCAGATTAAACCCCTCACCTCCTAACGCCGCACCCGGTGACAACGCACTGCAGGGCACATGGGGCACGGGGACCGGGCAGCTCAGCCCCCAGAACGTCTGAGCCGGGCTCTGGGGGAAACGGGTGGGTCAGGAGGACACCCGGGGAGGACGGCACCCCAAGCAGGAGGGCCCGGGGTGACACTGATCAGAATGAGCCCTCCAGGGTGGGGGGGACGATGACATAAGATGGTGTCAGGATGGGGGGAGGGACACAGAGCACGCCATGCTTGGGGACACCCACGCCAGACAAGATGGGAAGCCGCGGGAAATTCTGTGTGGCTGCTTATAGCTTTACCCGCTCCCTCTGCTAATTCACTTCAGTGTACCTTGACGCGTATTTGTAAATTCACTTTTTAAAAAGGCACACGGTTAATCCAAAGACACCTACAGCCATCACCACCGTCCACCTTTTCACCTTATTCAAAAGGAGACCCCGTGCCCTGCCTCCAACCCACTAAAATTTCTCACTTGTGGTGGTGGTATGCGATTGCAGGTTTTTCGTTTTGGAATTGATTGACTGTTTGACCTCCCTGACTCTCGCATTCTGAGCACATTTCACAAGACATTGGCAGGGCTCTGGTATTTGGGCAGCGGGGAGTAGAACCACTGAAATGCAAATATCGCCATTTGCTCCAGCTTGACGATCTATCGACTGCACCTTTGTTCCCATCTGGGCTCCAACTTGCCTCATGAGCTGAGGCACGGGTCCCACAGGCTGTGTGCCTCGTGTCTGACAGGAACGCAGGACTCGGTGTCACTGCAGTGGGTCACAGCCATGTCACTAACGCCACTCTCGCTTTCCTGGTCGGGCTCCAGGTAAGAGCACTTCCAACATGGAAGAGTCTGCGACCCTGGACAACGGAGGCTTCGCTGCCTTGGAGCTCAACAACCGACACCTCAATGTCAAGGGCGCTTTCTTGAAGAAGAACGGGACCAGGTAGGGGGCTGTTGTGGGCTGGGCCAGCCAGGACCCAGGGTGGACAAGGCCCGGCCACTGAGCCCAACCGTGTGTGTCCGGAAAGTCAAGCATAGCTGGCACAGGGTCGCAGACGCTTGGTGACGTTCCTGGCTCCCAGCCAGAGGTGTGCAAAGGGGTGAGGGGTGAGCTCCAGGACTGGGACACCCGGCCGCCACCAGGGCACTAGGATCGGGGGCTTCTTGTTCGTGTTGGTGTCGCTCTAGCTGCAGCAGGCTCGGTCCTTGTGTCGTCACCATTCACATATTCTAGTTTTCCCGTGACGATAGCAGTTGCTGTCGTCACATGTGGTTGGGAATGCAGACCAGAGTCTTTTGGCCGGGCGTGGGGTTTCACACCTGTAGTACCAGCACTCGGGAGGCCGAATCAGGAGGATCCTGAGTTCCAGGCCAGCCTGGGCTACAGAGCAAGACCCTGTCTCAAAACGACAGCCCAAAGAATGAGCCTCCCGCCAAGGCCTGTTACCTCCGTGCCCTTCCCCCAGTTTCACCAGGGGACAAGGGATGATCTTCACCCGCCCTTTGACTGGCAGAGCCCTAAGAGCCAAGCAGAAGAAACGAGACACCAGAGAACACCTTCCCTGGGGAATCCTCATCTGGGTCGCCCTGGGGCTTGGGCTGCCTCTTCTCCCTGAGCGAGTCTCAACGTGGATTGGCTTTTTGTTGTAAAAATATGGGAATTAGACACCAGCAGGACCCGGGCAGGCCGAAAGTTTGTTTCCCCTCATTGTCTTCTAAACCGACAGTGACGAGTCTATCCAGAGACCGCCCCCCCATGCTGCTCCTGCCCTCTGCCACCAGGGAGGGGAGGGGCGGCCAAGGTGCTGTCCTATGGCAGGAAGTGGAAGCCAGTTGACATCCGGTCATGCCTTCTCCTTCCATTTATCTACAGACAGACAAGTTTTTCCTGTTATATCATAGGAGCATGAAAAAGTAGTCACAGGGCCAGGCATGGTGGCTCACAGTTGTAATCCCTGCTGTATGGGAGGCAGAAATGGGTGGATCATGGTTCGAGGCCAGTCTGAGCAAAAAGCTAGCAAGATTCCACTTCAACAAATCCCAGATACACAGGAGGCTGAGGGAGGAGGACTGGAGTCCAAGGTCAGTTCGGGCAAAACTCACAGGACCTCATCTGAAAAGTAAACGAAAGCAGAAAGGGTTGGGGTGGAAAAAGAGCGATTGGTAGCTGCAGGACCAGGGGGACTTGTCACAAAGAATGCTAAAATACTGCACCCTTGTATCTGCTGTAAATCTGTCCCCCGGCTGCATGTCCCCCCGCCCCCACTGTGGGCACCGTGCACTCCGAGCCTCCCGCTGGTCCTGACATTTTGTGCTCTTCCACTTGGGTGTCTCCTTGGGACACAGCGACTCCTCCTCAGTGCCACCAGGCCAGGCTGACAGGCACCGACCGGCAGGGTTGGCTGTGGAATCACCAGATGGCCAGTGCACTGTGGGACTGTGCCTGTCCGTTTCTGACATGATAGAGGACAGGGGCAAGTGACTGGGGCCTCTGGGGAGAGACATCTTCTGGGGTGACCCACAGCACCTCTTCTGTCCTAGGTCCCCGCCTCGGCCGAGCCCTGGAGGTCTGCACTACTCCGACGAGGATCTTTGCAACAATTACAACGGTGCCGTGCTGACCGAGAGCGTGAACCTCAAGGAGAAGTCAGTGGACGCTTCGGAATCCGAGGTCAGTGCCACACTGGGCTTTGGGCAGAACCGCCATCCCTGCCTTCGAGTCTAACAACCACCCTCGAGGTGCTCAGCTCCAACGACAAAAGGCTTCACTTTGCCGGGCAGCAGTGGCTCCCGCCTGTAATCCCAGCTACTCAGGAGGCAGAGATGAGGAGGATTGCGGTTTGAAGCCAGCCCAGGCAAATGTTTCAGGAGACCCTATCTAGAAAAAACCTATCATAAAACAGGGCTGGTGGAGTGGCTCAAGTGGCAGAGCGCCTGCCTAGCAAGTGTGAGGCCCTGAGTTCAAACCCAATACCACTAAAAACAAAAAAGCTTCCATTTTGCAAATGAGCAAAGTACGAGGACCTGAGTTCAGCCCCAGGGCCTGTGCACCTCCCACCCGATGGCAGAGCAGATGCCCTGAGCCTAATCCCGGGGGCCGGGGTAAGGCGGGCAAGGCCGGCCTCCTTCTCCAAGAGCGAGGGGCACCCAAGCAGAGCATGGGTGAGCGCTGGGCCCTGCGTTTCCTCTCACATGCTCTGTCTTAAGTAGCCTTGGAGGTCCCTGGTCACTGGACCCCTGCAGACCCAGCTAGGGCTCTGAGCTGGAAATAGAACGGGTGTTCTCTTTGTGTGCATCCTTGTGTGTTCTGGAGGCCGCCATGCGTTATGGGGCTCTCCAGACTTGAGCTACCGTGGACAAGGGCCTGAGACTGCTGGGCTGACACAAAGTGACCTTCACCCACTGCAGGGTGGGGAGCTCAGGCTGCAGCGCCCCAGTCCTCACCGGACAGCTGGGCCAGGCCCAGGGAGCTGTCCGAGAGCATCAGCTAAGGCCCCTGCACCTCTCTCTGGGCACCCCTTTGTCCCAAGCAGAGTGAGTGTCATGTGCAAGGCCTTTTCCTCTTCTTCCTCCATCTTGTCCTCCATCACCACCTCCTCCTCCACCAGGGAGGCAGCCATGGGGCTCCAAGAGGGTCTCAGCAACCCACGGCTATGTTTTACCAGCACGACAGCTGAAGCAACCATTAGAGAGGTCCCTCCCCCCCCCAACCCGGTCCTGAAATGCTTTGTTTTGGGGTTCACAAGCTTTGCAGAGCCATTTGCCATGACCCGGGCCTGCCCTCCTCTCAGCATTCTCCCTCTAAATCAATATTTAATCTAAAATAAGCCTCACCTGCGTCTGGGCTGCACTCAGGCCTCAGGGCCCCACGTTCACGGCTTCTTTGATTATGAACTACAGAGGGGGCAGTGGCGGGCGCTGGTGGGCGCTGGCGGGCGCTGGCGGGCGCTGGCGGGGCCTGGCTTTATGCTCTGTTTACAAAGGATTCTGGGAGCCTGGGTTTGGTAGAAGCAGCAAGAGGCAAGGCAGACATTAGTCCACACTGCCGGGCTGTGGTGGGGCGGCCTGTAGAGCCGGACCTGCACGGCAGTCTTGTGACCTGCAGAAGCCATGGGTCGGGTGGGGTCAGGAGTGTGAGAAGGCCCCCATAGGCCCACTGCCAGTGTCTGCTGAGAGAGACACACTCCGTGCCACCGTCTGGCAAGCTGGTCTCTGGAGCGTGTGACATCGTGCAGTGACACCCCAGGCACCTCCGCACGCATCGCTCGGTGTGCTGAGCACTGCCTGTGGCCAGGCCCAGCACCACCTCCACCCCCACTGCTACCCTGGGAGACGGGTCGCGTGTGGCTCAGGGGCTGAGGTCCCCAGGGGCAGGAAGTGGAGCTGGGCAGTCCTGCAGGTCCCCAGCTGTCGGAGCTCAGCCTAACCCGCCCTGCATCACCGGCTCCCTCCATCACCAGCTGCTCAAAGCTGGGTGACAGGCTTGTCCCAGGGCAGCTGTTGGGTCATAAAGGCGTTCTTGGAACAGTCGATGGAAAACGCTTGGTTGGTTTCTCCCCGCAGAGGTGTGGGGCATTCGAGATCAAATTCTGAGGATTTTTATTAGGGACAAGACACACACGCACACCCATGCACGCGTACACGACACCACACACACACACACACACACACGTGTCCCTGAGCACACGCAGCGGGAGGATGGAGCAGCGAGTAAGGAAAGGGAGGGAGGCGGGTGGAGGAGCAGGAGGCCCCTCAGTGCTGCAGTGGGGGTCTGCCTGCCAATTCAAAGAATTGCTTCTCAGACCAGCAGTGCCTGTGCAGGCCCCACCAAAGGGACAGTCCTCAAACCCTTCAGCGCTAGGCAGCTTAGCCCAGTCCCAGAGGCACTGCTCGTGTCGTCCATCCTGTCACGTGTGAAGACGACCCCTCAGACCTGCTTGCGGGGCAGCTGTGCATGGTTAGGAACCCCAGCGCCAACGGACGCCACACCTGATCACAGCCCGTCCTTCTGTGGTTTCCTGGGAAACCAGCACGCACCTCAGCCTCTCATCACACAGGAAACTTGCCACAAAAAAAAAAAAAAGAAGCAGCAGCCCCTGCAGTGCTCCTTTCCGCCAGTAATTCTCCCCGGCTAAAATACATCCCCATTAAAAAATAATAATGTCACATAAACAATAAGCAGAGCTGGTGACAAGAGAAAGGATGGCATTTTAATGCTGTTCTCCATCAGAGAATCCAGGACAAGGTCTGGACAGGAGCCAGAGGCCTGGCGTTCAGCTCCAGCTCTGCCAACTGCATTTGTCATGAGACCCCTTCTCGCGTCTGCCCCAAAAGAAAGAGCAAGGAGCCAAGATGGCTCTCCTAGCCCCCCTGAGCCTCTCTCTGCACAGAGGTTTGGCTCTAGGGACCCCTTGGCCAGGGCTGGGCAGGGACCTTGCTCTGCCCCACCCTGAGAGCCCCTCCCTCCAGATGCAACTCCCAAGGCAAGACAGTGACTGGTCAGTGTGAGTCCCATGCCGACCTGGGAACCAATCACTTTTCCCTGGTGACAGGTCACTTAGCATGAGTGGCTGGAAGGATTGCTGCCTTCCAGAAAGAGGTCAAGGCCCAGAGCCTGGTGCCATGGCTCTCACCTGTAATCCCAGCTACCTGGGAGGCTGAGATCAGGAGGATTGTGGTTGGAGGCCAGCCTGGGCAAATAGCTCGAGAGACCCCATCTCCAAAACACCCAGAGCAAATGGACTGGAGGAGTGGCTCAAGCAGTAGAGCGCCTGCTTTGCAAGTGTGAAGCCCTGAGTTCAAATCCCAGTCCCACCAAAAAAAAAAAAGGCCAAGACATTACTGTGTGCCACCAACCGCCCCCAAATCGTGTCTCCTGCCAGGACCCCTTCTTACCACCCACACTTGTCACAGGTTCTGCAGCAGCTTGAGGCCTGTGGCTGGTGAGGTACGTGAGGTGTTTGTAAGAAGTGCCGAACGCACGGGCATCTCACCCGTCACACACATGTACGCTCATTCTCTAAGCACTTCTGGACACACTGCAAAAGTTGGTCCATTCCAGCTGCCGTGGGACCAACAGCTCAGGACACCCCTCCAGCTGCAGGAGGAGGGCTGGGCAGAGGGGGCTGGAGTGTCCGCAGGTGGCTGCGAGGTGGCGTCCTCAAGCGGAATCAGTAGCCCACGTTCCCACTGAGTGTACCACTTCCTTCCTGCAAGGTGACACGTGATCCAAGACCCACCTCCATGACTGGGGTCATCTGCCTCGTAGAACAGGCAGCAGGTGTCCCCGGTGTGTTCCTAGAAAGACTTCACCCCTGCCAATGTTGGCGGAGCGGCCTGTGTGGGTGCAGCCCCAGCCTAACCAGCCAGTGTGGCCAAGGGAGGTCACATCTGGTTCTTTCAGACACGAAGCAAGGAGACCGAATATGAACGTGGCCACTGAGAACCTTCTCCCTGTCTTTCTGGGAAAGGCTCCCTTTCCCTTCTTTCCTCCTTCCCTCCCTCTCTCCCCTTCTCTTTCTTACCTGGGGTTTGAACCCAAGGCCTCGTGCATGCTGGGGAGGCCCTTCTACCACACCCCAGCCCTCATCTTGTCCCAGCAGTGCCCTGGTGACAGGGAAACTGAAGGGGGGATGGCAGAGCACCCCAGAACATAGCCTGACGGGCGAAAATCAAATCTGACCTTCCCTCTTCACGCAGTTATAACCCCAGTGTGAGACCTGGGCCCATTCTGGGTGCACCTGTGAGTTTCCCACGAGGACCCGGAATCCGTGGGTGGGCTCTGCGGTTCCTTCTCCCCTGGGCTGCAGGGAGAGCGTGGGGTTCAGCGCTGACCGGCACTCCCGGGTGATCTGCGCGCACTTTTCCTCTGCTGTTTGTTTACGCAGAGCTTTGGCGCAGCCTCCAGAAAACACAGCGAGAGCACAACCTAAACAAGAGCCACCAACACAGGTCCCTGGTCTCTCAGGTGAAGCCCGGGGGCCAGGCACACTTGAGAATCCATCGTGGCTGAACTCGGGTTGGGGCTACACTGGGGTGCTATGTCTCCCTGTCTATAGCTTGGCTCCCCAGTGCTCCAGACGCCACCAACTGTGCCACCACTGGTGTCCACAGCACATCACTCAGCAGTAGTGCCACTCAGGGTGGGGCTGCCACACTGGCTCCACCCAGGCTGCTTTGCCACCAAACGAGTTACCAAAAGGACTTCTGATGTTCAGAGCACCGTGGTTTGGGGTCGTGGGTTCGGGTTAGGGGGTCGTGGCCCAATGCAGAGGGGACAGCTGGACCCAGGTGTGTCTGCTGCCCACTGAGGCTCGAACCCCTCAGTTGTGGGCTCGGGGCAGGGCTCTCACCCAGCCCCAACCTTCGAGCCTCATCTGTTCCTCCGTGAAACACGTGCACCCACGTCCGCAGGACCACCATGATGGGAGGGGGACCCCTCTGCATCTCTAAATGTGATTTTAGCCCTTGCTCCGGGGGAGTTCTGATGGGGTCCAATGTGGCCGACGCCCAGCCATGCTCAGCCGTCACAAAGCAGACTGTTACACACACTGCTCCAAAAGCCCCTGATCTGGGACTTTCGGGGACTTTCGGGTCCAGTCTCTGTCCTTTCAGTCGGTGTCTGAAAATCCCAGGAGACGCTGGCTCTACCTACTGCATCCCTGGGGTCCCTAGGTGGCCCAGAGGCCAGCGGCCCCCACAGCTTCCAGGGGGACCCTGGCTCCCCAGGTGGACAGCTCCTTGGGGTCAGAGCTACCCCAAGTGGGCAAGAAGTGGGGAATTCGCGTTCAGACCAGGGACAGCACCCAGCTGCCCCTCCCCGGCCACACCAGTGAACGGGTGCGGGTCCCACACCCCGGGGAGCACTTTTGCCTCAGCGTATTTCCTGTCTGGAAGAGGCGCTCTGGGTGGGGCCGCGGCCTCCCCATCCCAACAGCACGGTTCTCCTCTGCGGAGAGAAAAAGGGCAGGTGACTGAGCCCTGACTGCTGCGGGCTCCTGCTCTCACACTCAGTCCCCTCCTGGACCCTCCCCTCCCCCCTGGGGTCTTCCTGAGCCCTGCAGGGGACATCTAGGGGGTTGGTCCAGATGCTTCCCAGACCCCTGGGGAGCCAGCAGGCCCCTTGCTGCCCTCCGGTGGCACAGCGGAAGGCTATGGATGCCTCAGGTGGTCCCCAAGGGGCCTGTCCCTCCAGTAGCTGCTGGCCTCTCAGATTCAAGGAGGTAATGGGAAGCACAGCTGGGTGGACTTCCCTCAAGTCCCCACCAGGACGAGGGACCCTCAGCTCCATCCCTGTGTTCCTCGTGTTCACTGGGGATATGGAGAGCCCTCTACCCACTCACAGAAAACCCCACTTCGCCCTCCATCTTCTGTAGCCGTCTGCCAACGACTCAGGCCAACCGAAAGACCATAACAGAGTTTTGCTTTAAGAAAATGAACATAAGAAATGGTTGAGCTAAGCCAGGCGTGGTGGTGCACACCTTTAATCCCAGCAGGCTGAGTCAGGAGGTTCGAGAGTTTGAGAAGAGCCTGGACGATGTAGCAAGAACCTGTCTCAAAAAAAAAAAAATATATATATATATACACATATATATAAAGTTTTAAATGTGTGCTACGTGGTGTTCGGGGAGGCTGCTGGCTTATTTTAGAAAACAAAACAACGACTATCTCCAGGACACCCAGTGCCCCCCTCCTGGGTGACAGCTGAGAGGTGACAGGTCCTCTGCTTCCGTAGCTTCCTTTCTCACAACCCTCCCCGCTGACGTCCCCGTGCCAGTTTGCACAGGAGGCACAGAGGTGCCCTGTCCACCTCGTGAGCCTGAGCCGGGGGCCATTTCTCCGCCCCCTGCATCTTAAGCCTTAGCCCTTTGGGACCATCAGGACCGTGTAGACTTCTCCCAGGGTGGGATGCAGTGTAGACCTCGCCCGAGGATGTGGAAGAGGGGAGAAGGCAGGAATCGGGTGACATGCGTGCTCCCCCCCCCCCGCTTTGGTCACCAGTGCCGGTCTCCCCCTACTTCTTGGCCGTGCCACCCTGATCGCTGTGCAAGTGCTCATGCTCCCTCTTGTCCCCTCTGCCTCACTGTGTCACTGTCCCCCAGGCCTCGGACTCGGACTACGAGAACACCGTGCTCAAGCACTCATTTGTCAACCACTACATGAGCGACCCCACCTATTACAACTCCTGGAAGCGACGTCCCCCCGCCGCGGCCCCGCGCAGGTACGAGACGGTGGCCGGGGCCGAGGGTGGCCCGCACCTGCACCCGGTCATCACCACACAGAGCGCAGGCGGCGTCTACACCCCCGCTGGCGCCCGGGCCCCGCTCACCGGCTTCTCCTCCTTCGTGTGACACGCGTGACGTCGCCTCCGTGGGGTAGGACGGTCGTATCCACTGGAGTCTTATTTTTAAGACAATCAACGCCAACAACTGAGCTGAAGGTTTTGTTTAGGCAACAACAACAAAAAACCACGATTCTGAGGGGTTTTTTAACTTGGTTTTTTGTAAGTCGGCCGCAGGAAGCGGGGCTCTTTGTTTTTCTTTTCTTTTTAAGAGAAATCTGTCTCCCTGGTGCGCTGGCTGTCACCACCACCAGGCACAGGGCTCTGCCCACCCAGCCCTGGGTTTCTCAGTCCTCCTGACCACCTGGAGAGGACATGGGACAGGAGGGTGGAGGGACAGGTGACAACCGATTGGGCCTGCCCCTCTCTATACCTCCTTTCCAAAAATCAGCCAGCTTGGTGACATCTGGGCACAGCGCACAGCTCCTCCCTGACTCCTGGGGTTTGGACAACAATCACTTTCGCCAGGGCCCAGAGTTTTGCAGTGACTGTACCTGTGTCCGGCGACGTGTCCCACTGGGCAGTGTCTGGGGAAGCTTTAAAGTTTTGACCCCCGGGCAGGTGACAGCAGTGCGGTCTGTGCCCGCCGGGGCTGGGCTTTGACTTCTGGCTCCACAGTAGTGAAACACCTGGTCTTTTCCTCCCTCGGCCCCCTGCTCTTTCCTCACAAGCTGGCAGTAGAGGAACAGGAAGTAGCCTCAGGTCCTAGAAGTCCCCAGGGCCAGCCGTGGCCAGCCAGGTCCTGCCCTGAGCGCAGCCCGCCCCGCTGGCCAACAGTGACGTCGGAGTGGCTTTGCAATATGGAGCTGTGCGTTGTTAACCAGAGTATTTTTTACCTTTTTATCTTTTTTTAAAAATCTGTCACACGGAATGAGCGCACCCTTGCTGTCTCCAGGTGCCTTTTTAGTAATTGTTCGGCTTTGTACGTGGGAAAGACGAGAAGTAGCCCTGTCTCCAAATAAAGCAAAGCTCTGCGAAAGCACCGGCCGCGTCCCCTCTGCGCCCGGGACCCCGCGCCTGCCACCGCGCCCCGCGCCGGCCAGGGCCAGCGTTCAAGCCTCACCACATTTTCTGGGAATGATTCTTCTTTAACTGCCACATGCATTTGGGGGAATTTTTTTTTTTTGACCAAATGAAAATAACATAAACTGCTTTGAAAACATGCGTTCAGTCCCCAGCTGTGCCACCAGGCCACCCCTTCGCTTTTGTGGCATTCGCTGAGATACAGGAAGTCATTCCCGTATTCCATTCCTGAGTGTGACCAGGGCAATGCTGGTGTCACCCGGTGTGGGTGGCCACAGGGATCGTGAGGGCCACTCCCGCCTTCTGGGCAGGAGTGCGACACCCAAGACTCGAGACCCTCGCCACACCCCAGGTGCACAGTGGGATGAGATGGACCTCGGCGTCCTGAGGGGGAGGACAGCTGGGGTGGTGCCAGGCCGGTGCCATCAGGAAGCCAGTCTCTTGGCCACTCACCGAGTAGATGGTGTCAGAGTTCACTGTGGCCCCAGAGGCAGAGGAGAGTTTGTGCGGGGTGAAAAGCCTTTAGCTTTTCCAAATAGAGGGCATGGGTTCCTTTGTCCCTCCCCTCCCTCCCTCCCTCCCTCCCTCCTTCCCTCCCTCCTTCCTTCTGTCCTTCTGTCCTTCCCTTCCTTTCTTCCTTCCCTCCCTCCCTCCTTCCTTCCCTCCCTCCTTCCTTCTGTCCTTCTGTCCTTCTGTCCTTCTGTCCTTCCCTTCCTTTCTTCCTTCCCTCCCTCCCTCCCTCCTTCCCTCCCTCCTTCCTTCTGTCCTTCTGTCCTTCCCTTCCTTTCTTCCTTCCCTCCCTCCCTCCTTCCTTCCCTCCCTCCTTCCTTCTGTCCTTCTGTCCTTCCCTTCCTTTCTTCCTTCCCTCCCTCCCTCCTTCCTTCCTCCCTCCTTCCTTCTGTCCTTCTGTCCTTCCCTTCCTTTCTTCCTTCCCTCCCTCCCTCCCTCTTCCCTCCCTCCTTCCTTCTGTCCTTCTGTCCTTCTATCCTTCCCATCCTTTCTTCCTTCCCTCCCTCCCTCCTTCCTTTCCTCCCTCCTTCCTTCTGTCCTTCTGTCCTTCCTTCCTTTCTTCCTTCCCTCCCTCCCTCCCTCCTTCCTTCTGTCCTTCTGTCCTTCCCTTCCTTTCTTCCTTCCCTCCCTCCCTCCTTCCTTCCCTCCCTCCTTCCTTCTGTCCTTCTGTCCTTCCCTTCCTTTCTTCCTTCCCTCCCTCCCTCCTTCCTTCCCTCCCTCCTTCCTTCTGTCCTTCTGTCCTTCCCTTCCTTTCTTCCTTCCCTCCCTCCCTCCCTCCTTCCCTCCCTCCTTCCTTCTGTCCTTCTGTCCTTCTATCCTTCCCATCCTTTCTTCCTTCCCTCCCTCCCTCCTTCCTTTCCTCCCTCCTTCCTTCTGTCCTTCTGTCCTTCCCTTCCTTTCTTCCTTCCCTCCCTCCCTCCCTCCTTCCCTCCCTCCTTCCTTCTGTCCTTCTGTCCTTCCCTTCCTTTCTTCCTTCCCTCTCTCCCTCCTTCCTTCCCACCTTCCTTGTCTTTCTACGTGGAAGGAAAATATTCTAAACCAAAAATCCTCAATGCTCTGCCCAAAGTCACTTCAGTGTGAGAATGGCCACACCGTCCACGTCCACGGGAGGGACTGCCCCAGTGGACAGAGCTGCCTCCTTCCTCACCCCATGCCAGCCCACGGGGGAGGGGGAGGGGGAGGAGGGGGAGGGGAGGGGAGGGGGCGAGACACGGCCCTGTCCCCTGTGCTCTTTAAGCCATAGGACATTGCTTTGGTGACAGGAGGTGCTGGGCGAGGTTCGGTCTGAGGCACACTTGCTCTTGTGTTTTCATGACAATGACATGCCGGTTCTGTTCCAGGCTCCTGTGCCCTTCTGCTGTCAGTCAACTTCTTTCCTATGGGATGTTTTTTGTGAATCTGCACTGGCCACAGTGGCTGCTGTCAGTGGCCACCATTGAGCCTGTCCCTTGAGAGGACTCTGTCCCTTGAGAGCCATCTGTACCAAAGGAGCAGGGTCAGGGGGGTCTCTCATTACGGCATGGCCTCCCAGAGCAGCCTGGGTGCTGAGATGAGCCCATCCTAAGCTGTCACCTCTAGGGAGGAGACAGAGGACACTGGATCTGAGCCTCGGTCCTGAGAACAGGACAGACGGACACTCTCCAGCTGAGGCAACACACACCCGTTCTTCTCGCTGCCCCTGTGAGTGGCGAGCTGGACACCAGGCACGCCCTGCCCTGCTGAGACACCGGGATGGCTTTGCACAGGTCCCCGTCCCCAGGGCATGGGGGACAGGGGTCCAGAGAGGGAGCAGCGTCCAGGCTGTCTCCTCGGCTCCTCTGCGCAGATCGGCCCCTCCTGGCACCTTTCCTTCAGCCTCTGTCCCCCTCCTCCATGCGCCAGCCACAAAGGACATGGTGGGCAGTGTCCACTCAGCCCTCGGGGTGGCACTCTGGAATGTTCTTTTTGGAGGCAGTGACTGGCCTGGCCTGGTGTGGTGCTCACGTGGGTTTTTTTCCTTCTCACCATTCTTGGCGGCCAGCACAGCCATTGTCCCGCTCAGCACCACATGTGGTCACCTCCGACCCGGCGGCCCTGTGGCAGGTGTCCTGTCTGCCGGAAACCCAGACGGCTCCTCCCAGCCTCACCTGCTGCCTAGGGGCAGTCCTGAAGTTTTCCCACAACACTTTCTGAAATTGTGCAGAAAACCAGATCTCATTTTAGAAAGAGGAAAAAGGAAAAAAAGCCCAAGAACTCGTAGGAAGACAGAGAGGTGCTATGGGTACAATGTTTTTAATAAAAATATTATTTTGTTCCTTACACGCTCGTGATCTTCTTCAGCTGTTGACGAAATGACCCCGGAGTCCTTGGGGACATTCGTGGTTGCTGGGCTGTAAATAGAATTCCTCACGTTGAACTTGAGCCCTAGTGTGGTTCTGCACCCCGTGCAGCCCCGCAGTAGAGCCCAGGCCTGCTGACAGGTGGGGACAGGCCTGGGGCCCTGAGGCCACGGTGGCGGGTGGCTGGAGCTGGCCCCACACCCAGATGCCTAAGCAGCCATCCCAGAGCCGGCCGGCCCCGGCACCCCTGGCCGTGACCCCAGAGACTTCACAGGTGCCAGGGAGGGAAGACCTGCTGTCACCAAGCTTGGCCTTGCCTGGCTGGGATTGAGCAAGGTGGCCGGCCACCCTCCAGGGGTCTGGCCTCCATGGGCTCAGGGTGGGCTCAGAGGAAAGGGGGAGGAAAGCGGCCATTGGCCACAGCCCTGGGGTTGTTGGAGCCACCATGTGGGGGCCACCAAAGAGGGCACAGCGTCACCCTTATCACCTATGCACCTTAGGACATGCTCTCAGCCCAAGTCGTATGTATTTATTTATTTGCAATACTGGGATTTGAACTCAGGGCCTACACCTTGAGCCACGCCACAAAGCCCATTTTTGTGATGGGTTTTGTTTTTTTTTTAGCTATTTGCCTGGGCTGGCTTTGAACCGCCATCCTCCTGAGTAGCTGGGATTACAGGCGTGAGCCTCCCGTCCCTGCCCAAGTGCATTTTAGCATCACTAGGGAATAGTTAGAAATCCCAAAGTCCAGGCCACACCCAGAACTGATTCAGAATCTCTGGGGCTTGGGCCCAGGCATTCCGACTTGTTTTGAAAAATCCCCAGGTGACCCCAACAAAGCCACATGTTCGGAAAGACCGCCACCTGCAGAGATGTGGGGAGGCGCGGGCTTCCCGCCTCACCACCTTTTCCTTTTGCTCTGGAAGCGGTCACTTCAAAGATGAACCCAGGTCAGAACCCTTCCTTTCTTAGTCTGGTGCAGTGGCTCATGCCTGTAATCCCAGCTACTCAGGAAACAGAGATCGTGAGAGTCATGGTTCAAGGCCAGCCTGGTTAAAAAATTCTAAAGACCCCATCTCAATCAGTGGCTGGGCACAGTGGTGCACACCTGTCACCCCAGCTCTGTAGGGAACATCAAAAGGAATGTCTTGGTCAAGGTCACCCTAGACATAAAGTGAGACCCCATCTCCAAAATAACCAAAGCAGAAAGCACTAGGGGCGTGGCTCGAGTGGTGGAGCGCCTGCCTTGCAAGAGCAA